CGAGGTGGCTCCTTTGGCGCTACGCGGAACTTTGGGAGTCTTCGTCGCCGTCGGTGTGACTGGGGGCGTGGTCGTGGGTCAGGTGTGCAGTCTAGCCGATGTCTTCGGCACTGAGGAACTCTGGCACTACGCGTTGTCCGCCTACATGGTTCTGATCCTGGTCTGCTACCTGCCATCGTACCTGTTCCCCGAGAGCCCCAAGTTTCTGTATATTGTCAAGGAAAATCGTGCGGCTGCCAGGCGGGAGCTGCAACGCCTGCGTGGCAAGGATGAGGATGAGCTAATTGCCCAGGAGATGGCCGAGATGGAGGCCGAGGCCAATGCTAAGGTCCAGACCAGCAGCTTCTGTGATGTGCTGCGTGATCCTCGCCTCACATTGCCTCTGATCATTGTGTGCTGCTTCCACGGCGGTCAGCAATTGTCGGGCATTAATGCGGTGAGTGGTGGGACTATTCCTATTTAATGATCCTTTTTAATCGGAATTTTGGCTTTCAGATATTCTACTACTCGGTCAGCATTTTCGAGAAGGCTGGACTTTCTACGGTGAATGCCCAGTGGGCCAATTTGGGTGCTGGCTGCCTGAATCTGTCTGTCTCTCTTTTTGGACCTTTGCTGATGGCCAAATGCAATAGGCGAACTCTAATGATGTTCTCCTGCGCCCTGTGCTCCATCTTCTTCTTCACCATCGCCTTTGTTTTGTACTACATTGTAAGTTTGTTTTCATTCAGTGATCTGTATGAAGCGAAACTAAGGAACTGTAGAAAAACTGTCATTGGTTTAAAAAAGAAATTGGTTCTAAAAAGATTTATTCATTTAAAATTTTTTTTCTAACAAATCCTTTTTATTTTGTTAATTATTTTGCAAATTTTAATACTTCTGTTCTGCGTAGAAATTTACTACATTCAAAAAAAATCGATATCAATTTTACATTATTTAAGATTAATAATAATTTGATATGTGGCCACGTAAATTTGACCTGGTCGAAAAGAGTACTTCATGTAAAAACGATATGGGTTTAGCATGACCTGAAATTTACATGGCCGTATCGATTTTACGGTAACATGTTTTTTTTTGTATAGTTTTTTTCTTGAATCACATATTGATTTCTCTGGATTTTAACCCAAATGAATTCATTTTACAGGACCAAGTCAGCTGGTTTGCGATCGCCTGCATCGTCTGCATCATGGGCTATATATTCTTCTACCAATTCGGACTGGGTCCCATTCCCTACTTCATTGGCGCAGGTAATTTGTCGCGTGACTCCATTGCTTATGTGCATTCCAATAGCTCCATTAATCGTGACTGGGACAGCAGCCTCAAGTTTCAGCAATTGAGGCGGAATTGGAATCGAATTGGGTTCAATGGCTCTCACCACATTTGCTTACGTCCATCAGAGACGTTCCCAGACACGCTGACTCTATAATTGGATGTATTGTTTATTTTTGGACCTCTAACTGATTCGATTTGTGCTCTCCAATTTGCAGAACTGTTCGAGGTGGCTCCCCGCTCCGTGGCCATGTCGATGGGCAGCCTCGCCTCGTGGACGTGCAATTTCATAATTGGCATCTCGTTCCCCCTGCTGCAGAACGCGTGGGGCGCCTTTGTCTTCCTGCCCTTCTCCATTACCTGTGTGCTGCTCTTCCTGCTGACGAAATTCTATCTGCCGGAAACGCGGGGACGCGATCCCTCGGAGGTGGCGCCACTCGTATCGAAGTGCTTCCGCTCCAAGGTCAAATGAGACCTGGCCCAGTGGGCTCATCTTACCATTAGACTTAAGTAGCCGGTGATATGTGGTAATAGGACTTAACTCCATTGGCACAGTGGGCCACTCACAATGATTCGTCCAAGTCACGTGCCTTTTGTAAATGCCGACAATAAGCCGGAGTCCACATTGTTCAGGGTCGAATTGCTCTAACTAATTGTAATTTGCCGCCTAGTCTGTAAGTTCTTTTGTACAAACCAATAAATGCGAGAATGGAACTATTTTTAAGAGTCACCCTGTAAGAAAGCTTCGAGCGCTCCGTCCCCTTATCACTGCACAAGTTCAATTAAAATGCCTTGGGACGGAGCGCAAAGTAATACTCTGTTAATTAGATTTATTGTTGATCAGAAAGAGCCGCGCTGCGCCGTCTCTAGATGCCCTTCCATGGCGTTGGGTTAGATGAATAAGGGCCAGATATTTGCAAAACTATTGTTGTAATCTGCCTTAAAAAATAGATTTAAATATTGCCTGATCTGTCTGTTGTTAACGCCTAAGTGTCGGTTAATAAAACCTGTTTGTCTAAGACCAAAGCTCTCTGATCGAATGCGAAAGAGTATGAAAATATTGATGTATTCCCACAGGTAGTAGTTAGAACAAACAAACGTCTCCCGTGTCAATGATAAGAAAACAAGTAGTCGTAAGACAAAAAGGCTGAATTTATCTATTGGCTGGTTATGGGCTGTAAACGTATTCCCCGTCCGGAGTAAGCAAAGTGAAGATGTGTTTATGTGGTTGATATACAAGCGGCGCGAATGACTCAACAAAGCTGTCGAATGGTTTTGAGCGAACGTCCGGATGCGTTTCATTTTCGGTTTAGCTTTCGGCGTGCCAGCATCGCTCCATCGCCATGGTTGTTGTAATGGTGACTACCGACCACTTCTTAACGCTTTCTCCTTCATCCGGGTTTGTTGCTTAAGTCTTTCGTTTGCGCCAAGTGCTAATCACGTGAATCTCGTTGCTTCTCCTTGCAGCACGTGACCCCGCCCAGGATCAATGGGTGGACTCCGCTCCTGCTGCTCATCTGCATCGCCGTAACGCTGGGCACCACGGTTCCCTAATGGGCTAAACTGACTTTTCGCCCGTGGTTTCCACAATCGCCCATAAATCGTATCCGCTGGAGATTCGCCCGTGTATTTAGAAATTTGGTGCCAGGACATCCCGAGGAATTTGGCCCTTAATTTAGCGATTTTCTTGACCATCGTCATTTCCGGCCAGTTGGACATCCTTTTCTGGTTTTTTTAGGCAAATCCAAAAAATGAGCAATTAAAAAAATCGTGTTGAGCATGCTTACCTGAATTTGGGAGGCATGGACTGCGACTGTTTAATTAAACAACACCGTGCTTTAGTGCTTTGTTTATTTTTTTGGGTTTGGGTTAGCGACCGAAATATAGCAAGCCGTTAGAAAAACAGGGTTTAACTAAATTAGGGATAATAAATATAGCTAGGCGTTCGAAAATAGTATCAATGTCTTTTGGGACGGAGGGAAAACCCCCCCCCCCACCCCCCCGGTTAAAAAAAAACCCCCCCCCCCCCAGCCCGAACAAACTTTGCACACATTTAATGATCATTGATGCTAGTTATCATTTGACTAAAGGCAACTAAACCGTTTATATTTTTTGACGACTGTGACAATTAGTCCCTTTCTTGCGAACAAAGTTATGCTTTTATCAACTTACTTTTTTTAATTTAAAGACGACATTTGATTTAAATTGACGAAAAATTCCTGAGTATTATAATTTTACAAAAAAAAAAAAAAAAATAAAAACATTGAATCACACAGGTTTAAACCCACAACCCCACCCTTAGTCCTCATATAACAAAGTTGAAAGCGCAAGGATTAGACCGCTGGGCCAGCCGAATACGCTTTTTATACCCTTGTATTCAGAAAAAAATAGGGCAATTCCTTGGATTTAGAAAGGTTAACAAAGCAAATCGAAAAAAATGCCCTAAATATTAGAAAAATATAATAATTAACCCTAATAATTTTTTTATGGTCACCTGCCTTAAATTTATGGCATATTTGTCGTCCGAAATTTGATCAAATTTTTCAGTTCAAAATTGAAAATTTTTCGGCGAAATATTCTAAAATGTAGACAATTATTTTTATGAGTATAACGATGGGCAATACAATAAACCCGTGGGTAAGCTTCGGTCCTAATCCCCGGCATCATCAAGCAATTTGGTGCCTAGGACATCCTCCACCGAATCGTCCCATCGTCCCTGCCGGCCAGCTATAGGATATACTCTGTCGCGCATTGTGTCGATCTACCTAATTAGGCATCTTCGTGTAAATTCCTTGGTTAGCGACAAATATGGCCGTTAAGGGCTTCTAAAAAATGTCATATGCTAGGCGTCTGAAGATAATACAATAAAAATATGTTTTAGCCAAGAAGTTTGAATTTATTTCCTTTAAAAATTACACTTTTCCATTTCTTTTTTTTTTTTTTCCGAATTTCGTTTCTTGTAGTTATGTTTTTATTGGACATTTGTATGGGAATTGGTATAAATATAGTACGATAAAATATGTTTTAAAAATATCTCTAAACGTTCGTTAAAGTGTTTGTTTTTCAACGAATTTTGGTATGATTTGAAACAGTTTGAATAACGTTTTTAATTTTCGAAAATTGTATGAAGGTATATGACTTTCAAAAATGTCAGTCCGAAGCCCTTTTTAGTTTTTTGTTTTAGGACAGTACCACTTTTTTTTCAAAGCGACTTGCTTCCAATAGTTGACCTCATACCTATTTTGTCAATGTCCGCTCTTCGCCGTAGGCTCGCGTTGAAGAAAACACATATTATTTTTACCTGCGAAGGTAGAAACAATTGGCTTTTAAACAGCGAAATTGTTTTTTGTGCCGATTAGAGCTAAAAAAGATTTTATGAGACATGACCAAGCGTTTGCGTTTTTAAAAACTAAAAGTGTTGACAGACGGACAGACGGAAAAACACGATTAGATTTTTTCGGAAAGCCGCATATTAACGGATTTTATGACTGGTTTCAAAGACGGATCTTCATGAGGCTAAGTATCGACTCTTGTCATTGTTTGGTAATGTTTATTTCAAAGATATCGATTATTTTGTATTATATGAGTTTTGTCGGTAATACTCTCAAAGAAAACAAAATCTTTTTTTTTCACTTTTTGACGTGGCAATTGTATCTTCCGACTGAAGGATCAAAATGATCGTGTTTTCTCTTCAACGCGTATACGCGAAAAAGTGGTAAATTGACAAATTAGGTATGAGGTAACATTGGAAGCAAGTATTTTATATTTTCAAAAAAAAAGAAAATTGGTATGAAAGATCCCATATGTAACTGTTTCTTTACTTCCAGTAAGGGCTGTCTGCTTATCAGCGGCGTCCTACTTGTTATCTCCGGCATCCTTTTCACCTGGTGCCGCGAGGCCAAATCGCTGGAAATGCTGATGACCGGTCGCTTCCTGGGTGGCATCGCATCCGCCCTCATCTTCACCGCTCAGCCCATGTATCTGCTGGAGTCCGCTCCCTCGGAGCTCAGCGGCAGCGTCGGAGTGTTCACCTGCATCGGAGTGACCGGAGGGATTCTCCTCGCCCAGGTGTTCACCCTGTCCCACATGATGGGCAGCGAGCAACTGTGGCCTTATGCCCTCAGTTCCTACAGCCTGTTGGTGATGCCATCGCTGCTGCTTCTTTGGTGGTTCCCGGAGAGTCCGCGATGGCTCTACCTGCACAAGCGGGACTCCGCCGCCAGTGAACAGGCTCTGCTGCGTTTGCGCGGAAGGCACGCTGAGGAGGAAGTGCGTCAGGAACTGATCGAGATGAAGGCCACTCTGGAGGCGAAGGCCAGCTCCGAAGCTAGTTCCTTTTGCTCGGTGGTGGGAGATAGAGAACTGTGGCTACCACTGCTGCTTGTTTGCTCATTCCAAGCCACCCAACAGCTAAGTGGCATCAATGCAGTGAGTTTTTTAGGGCCCTTTTCAAATTTAATCCTAAAAAATTTACCTTTCAGATATTCTTCTATTCGCTATCCATTTTGACGGATGCTGGCTTCTCGGCAGGAGCAGCCACCTGGTTAAACCTGGGAATCGGGGGCTTCAATCTGTGTACGTCTCTTCTAGGACCACTACTGATCCGCAGGTTCCCACGTCGCCCCCTGATGATGATTTCCTGCTCCACTTGTGCTCTGGCCCTCCTAGCCATGTCCTTGGGACTGTTCTTCCTGGAAAGATCCGAAAGCACAATCCTTACCTATTTTTGTGCCGCCTTCATCCTTACATTCATACTGGGCTTTCAGCTGGGTCTGGGTCCCATTGCCTACTTCATTGGCTCAGGTTTGTATAGATTTTTAATATTTTCTTTATAATATTAACTTTTTACACAGAGCTCCTTGAGGATTCGCCTCGCGCTGTGGCCATGTCGATGGGCAGCCTGTTCTCGTGGATCGGCAACTTCCTTGTGGGCATGTGCTTTCCTTTGCTTCAGAGTGTCTGGAGCTCCTTCGCCTTCATCCCGTGCATGTGCGTGTGCCTCTACTGCCTGCTGCTCACCTGGCGATACCTGCCGGAGACACGCGGTCGGGAGCCCAAGGATGTCAAGCCGCTGATGAGCCATGGCCTCGCCTCCAAACGGAACTGATGTGTCTAATTGCCTATTTATAGATTTAATCAATCAATTAAACAAGCTGGTCTTCCATCAAAAAACTTAACTACTTTTGTATTTTTAGCACCAATTAAATTAGCAAGAGACCCTAATGGCCCTAAATCATTAGAGAGAAAATTTAAATGAGTCGGATTAAATTACCTTGAAATTACCTTTAAGCTTTTAATTCAACACTTTATGACTAACTCTTTTATTCTATTGAAAGTTAAAACAAACCAAAACTTTTCTTGTGCGTATAACAAACGGCACTATATGAATTTTTTAGTTAAGAGATTTTATTCGTGACAAAGAAATTGGATCTTGAATTTATGCCTGTTCGACTATAATTTTATTTAGTCTTTATATTTAATTTTTATATTTTCTGTTACTAATTTTACCAATGAAAGTGATTGCAAATATTATTCATTTTGTAAAAGTTTGTCAACGTATATGGGTAATATCCCTAATTTCATAATGTATCAAAACAGCTTCAACATTTGTTAATCCGTGTTGGATAGTAAAATTAGTTCATCTCGCGAAATCTATCCAATGCTTTAGAAATTATACACTTGGCTATGTTAAACTGTTCAACATTTCGGTTAAATAATAAGAAATTAATATGAAAATAGCTTGAGATCGAAGGATAACCCCGTAAATTTTGGTATGGCCGAGGGGAAGCAGGGCTGGACGGCCTTGCTGATGCTCATCTGTGTGTGCATCACCGTGGGCACCGTCATCCCCATTGGCTATGCGTTTGGCGTAATGAATGCTCCCTCTGCGGTGGGTCAACCGAAAAGTTAGCCTGTATTACTATATTTCCAACTCAAGAGCACCTCCAGTTCATCAGGTTGTGGATAATGGAATCTGCTTTAGCCCGATACTCATCGCTGCTGGGCGATTCGCAGATGACGATATTGATGTCGGCCGTGGTCTCCATATTCCTGGTCGGCGGCATGCTCGGTGCTCCATTCGCTCCCATCTTTAGTGCCCGGTTAGGACGTCGAGGAATCCTGATTCTCAGTGGATTGCTCATTCTGGTATCCTGCATCTGTCAGCTATTCTGCCGCTTGGCGAACTCGATTGAGATGCTCTTGCTGGGTCGCCTGATAGGAGGATTTTCCGCCGCCCTGATCTACGCCACCCAGCCCATGTACTTGGTTGAGCTAGCCCCGGCGGAACTTAGCGGCAGCGTCGGCGTCTTCACCTGCATTGGGATCACCGGAGGTATCGTCTTGGGTCAGATCGTCAGCTTCGACTTTGTTCTGGGCACAGAGAAGCTGTGGCCCTACGCCCTGGCCTTTTCCGGCGTATTCGTGATAATCGGATTGTCGCCCATCTTTTGGTTCCCCGAGAGTCCGCGCTTCCTGATGTCGCAGGGCAAGAGGGAGAAGGCCAGGATCACGCTGCTGCGTCTGCGCAGGGATGAGGAACGCGTGAAAGCGGAGATGGCGGAGTTTGAGGGCTCCGCAGAGGCAGGGGGTCAAAAGGTCACCACAAAGGATGTGCTGTGCAATAGTAAGCTCAAGATGCCGCTGATCATAGTGAGCTCCTTTCACTTTGTCCAGCAGATGAGTGGCATTAATGCGGTGGGTTTAGGATCACATAACATATACTTTATTGACCACTTATCCCTTGTCAGATTTGGTTTTACTCCGTGGACATTTTCACCCGATCCGGATTCACTATTACTGTGGCTTTGTGGCTTAACTTCGCCTTGGGATTTCAGAATTTTATAGTCGCCCTCTTTGGCCCCTTGATGATGAGAAGGGTAAACAGGCGACTCATGATGATGCTGTCGTGCCTCTTCTGTGCCATCTTCTTGACTCTACTTGTCGTTGGCCTGAAACTAATGGTAAAGAAAATTATTAATCAAGTTATAATAACAACATTTTTGTTCCCACCCACAGGTATCTATGCGTGAGTTCTCATACGCCTGCATTGCCTTCCTGGCGCTCTATATCCTTGCTTTTAACGTGGGTCTTGGTGCGATTCCCTACTTTATTGGTTCAGGTTGACATGCACCGAGATATCAGTCTTTTGGCTTATCATTTCCGCCCCCACAGAGATTTTTGAGCCTGCTCCGCGTCCTTCGGCGATGGCTTTTGGAAGTTTCTTCAACTGGCTGGCTAACTTCCTGCTTGGCATGATATTTCCCATCCTGAATTCGGCGATTGGACCTTACGCTTTCTTATTTTGCGCTGCTTTCTGCGTTTACGGATTACTGCTGACCTGTCGCTATCTGCCGGAGACGAGAAACCGCGAACCCAAGGATGTGGCACCGCTGATGGAAAACGGCTTCAGGTCCAAGATAAAGTAGGAGTAAAGTAGGAGACCTTTGAATGGGGAAAAGCGTACTGTTAATCTCATCGGAATCTAATTAGTTCCAGGATAGTGACGTCAATCCTAAATGGTGTATTTTGAAACGATGATTAAATCTATATTGCCTATTATGCATTGTTTTTATTAATTAACACTGCCTTAAAAAAGCTCGAAACCAAAAAACTTCTAAAAATGTAGGACGGGAACACTACAAGTATTATGCCTAACAAACTTAGAATTCGTTCGCCGGTAATAACCGTGATTAAAAGCGAATAAGATTTAAGGCATCCACCGAGGAAAATAATAAACTTTACATTACACTATGTATTATCAAATAAAAACACCTCTTAACGAGGTAAAAAACTAGTGACGATCGCACCTTCAACATACAAAAGTTCTGATATCAACATTTGTGACGAAAAATTATTACACTCGTCATTAAATAGACTTTCTAATATTTTCTCATTCGGCCCGCCCTAGCAGACTATTCCAGACTTTTTCCTTTCACAGGCATTTTCTATTGCAGCGTGCCGTCCATAGTGATTCCATATTTTATCATTTCTTTAAAATCACTAAAAATGTTCGACTTTTTAGGGTTAGGGTTAAACTCTAACAGGTTCATCCATCTTGGGGTAATTGGTCTATAACGCAACCATACGTCTTTTTGAAAAATCTTTATTATATCCCAATAAATGTGTAGGGAATGCGTTTATCGGTGCGATCATCCCCCAGTGAGAGCGGAATTCCTCTCTCATCGCCGATCCTCATTCCGAATCCAACAATGGAGCACAGCGACGTCACAGGTAGCGCGTCAAGATAGCCGTCTATAAATACGGGTGCGAGTACGGACTTCAGTGGGCAGCGGATCGTCGAGCAGCGCGCACGGCCGGCGAATGAGGCACTTGCTCCGGAATCGCATTCGGCATCGGGAAACGGACGGAGGCGGAGGTGGCTAAATGAAGTCAAGTGTGGTGCAGTTAAAAATAAACAGGGCACGCGAAACAAGCCAAGAAGTTATTCTGTGCAGATCAGCCGGAATCGAGATCGAAAAACCAGGGAAAAAGTCGGGAAAATCTGTTAAATAGCTGGACGAAGGAATTTCGTGGCGTGCGTTGAATAACACTGATAAAACAATATACAGAGCGCGCAAACATAAATAATATTCCACATGCATAGTTCGGAAATACATCAGCTGCTAAAATAAACGGAGCGGCCGAAGCACCAACAATAAAAGCCAGCCGATTCGCCGCTCATGACGTCACGGATGAGCATCTGGCAAGGAGCATCAATAGCATCATCGGCATCGCAACAAACTGAAATAATAAACAGGTTCGTGATCCTTTTACCTGAGCACCAAATGGATTTTAACACAGCCATTTTGCCATTTTGTTTATAATTTTATAAGGTTCACTTAAAAATACAATTTAAAAAAATAAACCTCGAATGAAAAATTCATTTTTTTAATATTGCATTTATTTTGAAGTGTTTTTTTAAGCAGCCAATTTAAATGTTTTCCATTTTCCAATGAATAAAATAAAATCAAACAAACATGTTCTTGAAATTGAACACATTTTCAAGTGTTTCTGTTTAAACAATCAAATTTCTGATGAATAGATTTATGTTAAAAGCCTTTAAAGTTTTCTAAACATATTTTAAATCAATACCTATTTTGATGTATTCCATATTGCTGCTAAGATATTTTGCCATAATTTATAATTATGATGATTTCCTTCAAGAAAACATTAAAGAATGAAAGCGGTGAAGTTTTCAGAAACTAAACAGGAACTCGAAACTTATTTTAGAGTACTTGGATTATTCTCTGTGAGGCTTCGATTTTTCCCCTGCTTTCAATGTTAGCAATTCGATACGCAACCGATTCACCATTCTGCGGTCAATGCTCGAAAATTAGTTTTTGACTCGCACACGTTCTCGGTTCGGTTTTTGGTTGTGTGCCGATCTGTCATGTCAATTGGGCTGCTGGCCATCAATGTGTGGTGATGATGTCGTCGCCGTAATTTCTTATTTTCCATCCCAGCCAGCTTTTCGCCCCGCCATTGTCACCGAATTTTCACCGTAATTAAATTTTAAAATCTCCTCTCGTGTAGCCGCTGACACTTAACATTCTGGGGCTGTCTGTCATATTTAAGCAATTCTTGCTTTCAATTTTCCTCTGTGGCGTGGCAAATTAAATGTTGAGAATTAATTGTGCAAGTGTGCTGGCTGAAGGACCTGCATATATACCATATACCTTATGATTGACAACTGGCACTAGAAATTGGCTGAAAAAAAAAACGACCAAGAATTCAGGGCACCTGCATGAGGTAATACCGTTGTAAACATAAGTGAAAAGTGTGTTTTCAATCAATGCCGTCATCTCCCGCATAAACAAAACCTGAGAGCCATGACGCAACTTAGTTGCTAACTAAAAGGCAACTCAATTGGCCGAGTGGAGGATCGGAAGAAAGCCACTTCCAAGAAGCAGACAGAATGCCCAACTTAATAGCACCTAAATTAAATTATTCGATACTCATTTTTTTCCAAGGCAGATCCGATCTGCACACAATACATTAGCCGACCGTTTCCTGCGCCTTTCGCTTTGATCTTTTCGGTAATCTTCGGATTCGGGTTAAAATGTCTTAGAAAATTTTCGAGAGCAATTATAATTAAAAATTTTGATGCTATGGGAAACAGACATTTCTTGCTAATGAGTGTACGTCTAAACGGAAAATGACTTTATTGCCGCTGGCCAAAAATATCCCGCCAAACTCGCCCGAAGTGCATTTTAATTGCCGGCCACAAAATGCACTCGGTCTTGGCCAGAATCGCCGTGTTCGTCACCCTCGCTGCTTGATTGCATCAAAAACATAAACATTGGGGCATGTTTTTTATATGTCAGCCCCTTCGATTCGCCCTGCGAAAAGCCTCCCCATCCCACTAATGTGTTTTCCCTCCGCAGTGTTTTGTGTATTTTCATTGAAACACACACATTGGACCAGGCTGGCGGGCCTCAGTTTTTAGTTTGTTTTGTGTTTGGATTTTTAATTATGTATATGTTCTCGCCTGTAAATAAGGCAGACATCAATTGCGAATTGATTTTAATTTATGCCCGCTGGCAGAGTGCGTGCAAGATTGAGGAAATCAATAAAAATATACATTTGCTTACCTGCCCGATTTTCACCGGACCGAACCGATAGATATGTTTGCTATGCGAATGCGTGAGGCGGAGGTGGGCAGATTCCCACCAGATTCAGATTCAGATTCGGATTCCAAGGCTAACGAGATCCGTGGATCGGCGAAATGCGGCGGCCACAAATCAAGCAAATGACTGTCGGGCCCGTCCAAAACAGAAGTTTATAAAAATAATCCCCCAATGAACTCGTATTTCACACCCACTAAATAAAACCCTAAAAAAAGATTGAAAATCAAACAAAAACAAGCAGCATTTGGCAACCGCAGACGGCGCATAGGATCGTTAGGAACTTTCCAATTTGACGCCACGGCTACGCCATCAATTCTCAAATCTAGACGAGTGTCATCCTCCGGCCACGCGAGAAATTTGAAATACCACACACAAACGATCCGTGGGGATGAGTCGCGATGAGATGATGTGACTGTTCCATAGGCCAGCTGCCAAGATTGTAGTCCAATAATTCATGTTCATGTTGGCCATTTATTAGAGAACATAGAAAGCGCTGTATTAAAAATAAAAACCCATTCATGCTGCTAAGCGATTTCGCGTTTGGCTTCTCTCGAAAACGCCCGCAAACTGTCACAGCGAATGAGTTACATGCAATTTCAGAATTTTCAACAGTCCAAGGGTGAAAGTTAGTGGAAATTAAATATAATCAATTATGTTAGTGGTCACAGAATGTGAATTTTTAATTGGAATTTATTTCAATTTATTGATTCGAAATTCTGTCACACAAAATGTCTTAAAAATTAGGAGAATATAAAAAATTATATTAAATCGTCAGGTGGGAATTACAGAATTTAGTGGTGAATATTCAGGTATACGTATTTAGTAACATCAAATTGTGTGCCATGTTTTATTTTGCTATGCTGAAGATCGTATATTTTTCGGTAATCCCAAGTAATGAAAATAAACCACCCACATAAGAAATCTTCTTTGAGAAGATTTATGCCGCCAAACACTTTGATAAAGTAGCCATGTAGCGGGTGCCTTATTTATTTACCTCTCTACACTTGCGAATCGGGTAAACTAATCGTTGATATTTTTAGCGATAGGTAGCCGGAAATCCTTCCAGTCGTCATAGATGCGAGTGTCGGACCAGACCCGAGCATGTCCAGGCGAACGCCAGTGGAAGGCCAATCGAAACCGGAACCGGAACTAAAACCGAAACGGAAGCGAGCCGCTAAGAAATGTCCTCGCGACGGAGCTCCTTCCGCCGGAAGGAAAAGCCGGCCTTCGAGCGCTTCAAGGACCACTGCCGACACTTTACGGCCTTCATGTTCTCGAACGTGGGCATCATCCTACTGGTCACATTCTATATAATCGGAGGAGCGTTCATATTCCAGGGCATCGAGATATTCGAGTACGAGCGACTTAAGTCTGAGAAACCGCATCGCTTCATCGCACGCAACTTTAGCGGGGAGTGCCTGACGCGCATCTGGGAGCTCACGGCGGAGAACATTAGCTTCTTCGATCACCATGCCTTCAGAAGTCGGTAAGTCATTTGGGACTATAAAACATACAATGCTAGTCAAAAGTAGTTTCACAAATTTGAATGTTAACTGTACTCATATTTTGAACTTATAATTATAATATAAACATTTCCTTGTATTTTTTATAATTTTTTGAAAATAGCTAAAAATTACAATTTTAGCCGATTTTTCTTCCTTTTCATAAAAAATTTTACTGAGATGTCTCCATTCAAAAAATCATAAAAAATACAGGGACAAATATTTTGAAAATTTTTTTTGCAGTTATTATTAATTTTGATTGGGGAACAACTTTGCATCAAAACATTTTTGTTTTAAGTCCCAGGAAAAAAGTTGAAAATTTGACTTTCACAAAATTTGCTCACTTTTTAAAGGGGTCTTAATGGGTTAAGAACATTTTTGTGTAATTTAAACGGAATTGAAGTGCTCTTTCTATAGGTGCCAAAAGTTTATATCATAAGTTTAAAATATGAGTACAGTTAACATTAAAATTTGTGAAAACACTTTTGACCACCCCTGTATAAAGTGGCTAATAAATAAAGGGGTCCTCCTGCAGTGTCAACGATGTGCTCCTCGACTATCAGCGGGCCATAGTGAAGAAACAGCTCAAAGGACCCGACGTGGAGCAGTGGAGCTTCTCCGGGGCGTTCCTTTACAGTCTGACCGTCATCACAACCATTGGGTACGGGAATATTACACCCCAATCCGAGTGGGGAAAGCTGGTGACCATTCTGTATGCCATCATAGGCATGCCGCTGTTCCTGCTCTACCTGTCCAACATTGGCGATGTGCTGGCCAAGTCCTTCAAGTGGATTTACTCCAAGGTGTGCCTGTGTCGAATATGTCCTGGCGTGGCCAAGCGGAGGATTATCCGCGAGAGACGAAAAATGCGCCAGTTGGCCAGAGCGGTTGGTTGAGATTATCTCGAATTTAACTGGAAATCCATGACATTTCCCTTATCTCACTGCAGATGCAAATGCACGACATGGAGAACGCGCGGGGCAGCAGCAGTTACACGAGCACCAGCAGCACTACCTCCTCCAACAGCAGTAGCAGTGACTATACCAAGAGTTCCCGGCAGAGCTCCAGTCTGGTGGATATCCCGTACTCGGAGTCCGACTCGGATATTGAGCGGGAGATTCGCGGCAGCACGGATGAGATCACGGTGCCAGTCACAGTCTGCGTATTCGTAATGGTCGGGTAGGATGAACTCCATCTGAAAAGTGAGCCCACAACCTCTGAAGAATCTCTCTCATTTCAGTTATATCCTCTGGGGTGCCTTGCTCTTCGGACGTTGGGAAGACTGGAACTATCTGGACGGCAGTTACTTTTGTCTCATATCGCTCAGCAGCATTGGATTTGGGGATCTGGTGCCAGGCGATCGTGTGGTAAGATGTTCTTATTATAATTTGTATTTAGTTTATTATTTAACTAATTGAATAAACATAAAATAAACATAATTATAAGCAGTTAAAACTTTATATAAAATCTGTAACTATACTTTACTCCCCAGATAACCGCCGATAAAGATAAAGTGGAGGTCAGCTTCATTCTCTGCGCCGTGTATCTACTACTTGGCATGGCCGTGATTGCCATGTGCTTCAATCTGATGCAGGTAAATGGAAATCCTCCTGCCCATTTCTCAATTTTTAACGGACTCTTTTCTTTACAGGAGCAGGTAGTCCACAATATAAGGGCCATTAAGCGGGGATTCAAAGCCTGCTTTCGATGCCGCAGCTCTTAGGAGGCCAAGTAGCCTCCCTATTATAAAGATGTTTCGTCGTACAAAGTCATATTATTATTCACTGTTAGTATAGGCTCCCTCCCTAGGCTAGCTTAAGTTAGAACTGTACATATAACTAGACAGAATGTGTTCCTTTTTTGGTAAATGTATAATATTTGTAAACATAAATGGAGATCGAAGCAAGGATTTTTTAGTAATCTATTTTTAATCTGAATGGCAAGAATATACATGCATTTTGATTACTGTCTGGAAGCCAGGACAAATACATCTAGATCAGCTTGCTCTTCAGCGACGCAGCGCCTCTTGGTTTGTGGTTTATCCGCTCCAGCCGCTTCTGTCTGGCCAACAGCGCCTTCACCTCTCGATCCAATTTCAGGGGCGAGGCAACCGCGATCTCTGCGTAATTGGGCAACGTGGTGCAGATCTTGTTCAGGCAGGACTGCTGGAATTGCTTGGTGAGATCTTCCGACATGCTTCGAACACACGGATTGGTCAACAAGTCAAAGGCTGTGACTTTCAGGGCCTCGAATTGCTTCCTTGTCTTCCCGGTCACCTGCTTGCGAATGATTTTCTTCCTTGTAATAGGCACACTGGTCAACTTGTTGGGATCATGGACGTCCAGGGTCTTTTTGGTGTCCACTATCAGCTTGCGATGGCGCACCTCCAGCTTCATGGTGGGAGTGGGCACCTTGGTGGAGGATACCGAGGAATACTTCTTTCTCTTCTGAAGTGGTGACCAGACAGGTGTCGGCTTTGTTTTGCTGGGGGTGCCCGCCTTTTTACGGGAATAGGTTCGTACGGGCGGAATCTTGGGTGTGGAGTTCTTAGAGCCTGGTTCCTTGGATTTATCATTTAGCTGGGTTCTTGCGGGAAACAACAGGCGGAGAGACCTCAGAGGGGCTTTCAACTTGGTAAGCTGGCAGAGGAGGCTCAGGAGATGGCTGCCGCAGGCTGTGGAAAGTCTGCTCCTGGCAGATTAACTCGCCCACGGTCTCCACATCCATGTCCACTTCACCCAGTGAAGGCAGCTGGAAGGGTCGGCATCGCGCCACCTCTGGCGTCAGCTGCGGCTGGATGTTCTCCTTGCCAGCCCGAGCCCTTAGAGAAGATGAACTGGACGGGGTGCTCTTGGCAAGAGGGGTTGAGAGGTTAACATCGTGAAGGGAGCGACGCGCAGGGCTCTTCGCTTTTGCAGTCCTGGTGGCCATGTCGCCCTTTAAGGCATCCGACAGCATCCCGCTTCCGCCGCAGCATTTTCGATTGGGGATGATGTTCTGGAAGGTGATCCTTCCTCCGACGATCTGCGGCATAAAGAGTTCACTCTCGTAGCCAGGATGCTCCACCATGACAATAGTCTTGCCGGAAAGAAGCTGGATCTTGAAGTTAGACTCCGAGCTCAACGTCGATGGTAAAGGTGTCATGATTAAGATTTGGTGGTGAAAATGCAGTTCAAGTCTTGAAAATGTGTGAAGAAAACTATAATTGTCTGTAAAAGGCAAAAATATGAAGAACTATAAGGAACTCTAAAATGTCATTTCGACATACTACACGATTAGAAGTAAAACGAGCTGTCAACCGGGCCAAAAACAAATGGTAAACAGCATATTTACTATTACAACACTCAGGAAATCTATTACAATCCTACACGACGCCAGTGTTTAAAAACACAGGGTTGCCTTGTAAGCGATCCTTACAAATCGTATTAGGGGTGGAACTTTTTGCCAACGATATATTTATTCCCTTTGAAATTTACTTATATTACGAAATATTTATTTTAAATTTACCGTAACTTTTCTTAAAATATTTTAAAAATTGTAATAAATCTAAAGACTACCTCTAATGCTGACGAACTATCGATAGTTAACAGTGCCTTATCGATAACAGTGAAATGCATTGAGGAAGCGAGCGAAAGGCATAATTCCGTTTTTTACGACACAAAGCTAGTTTTATTGATGTACAATTGAGGAAATCCCAAGCTGATGTTTAATGTGAAGTTAGGCAAAAGAATTCACGGGAAATAATAAATCTCACTCAAGGTATGGAAGTGGAAGGTTTTGTAATCGCGGCGTAAAGAAAGTGGATAACTATAGGAAGCACACAAACAAACACACAGCCATTTAATCTTTGTAAAATAATTAAATAATTGTGGCTTTCTTTTGTTGCATTTTGCACATTTGCCACGCGACATACCAAGTCGAAAATGCCTTTTTGATGATTCATTTCGCAGACAAATACGTAAAAGAGAGGTGGTGGAGGTGGACCAACATGACGTAGTGCTTCTTCCCCCCACAAACAACCACCCCCTTTCCAGGTTGCCTCATGCCCACAAAAACATGTTTTACTCGCCTATTATCTCATGCCTAAAAATCACTCCTTTGTTGGTGTTTCTTCTGTTTTTTCGCTCATAAAGATAGCGTTTCTGTTATATACAAAGTGGCTAGCTTTAAATAGGCTAATCTGTGGCCACAGAGCTCCTCCGACCAGCATCTGCATCTGCGGTCTGTGGACTTTGCTTAGTTTGACCGAGTGACCCAAAAAGATCAATCTTATAGTTTCCAAAGGTTGGGGATTTCCCACGACCTTATCAGTACAATAACAAATAATTTCTCCGCAGAAAAAAACCCGATCAGCTGTGCCATTATCAAGGCTTAATCAGTATCTTCGAAGGCAAACAACAAACAACTAATGACTTCTGATTTCTTTGTTTTCTTTCAGTGATTCACCCGCTGGCCATGTCGGAAATCGGCAATTCCTCCTACTGTCAAGCAGTGGGCAATCGCACCTCGTTCTTCACCACCGCCTACAATGGCATACCGGAGACCCTCATACTGAACACCATCTTCTGGGTGCTCCTGATCCTTCTGTTTACCGCCCTGCGTCACCAGGCGGGCGACTTTGGTCGCCTGGCGCTGGTCAACAGCAATGGGAGCAAAAAGCGCTGGACAGAGGTCTTCTATACGCGGGCCGCCAGTGTAGTGGATCCCCAGCCGAGCACCTCGGCGCAGGTGTCGCCGCGGCCAAGCACCGCCTCCCAGGGAATCGCCGACTCCACGCCACTGTCGCCCATTCAGCCGGAGGAGGGCTTCTTCGGCTGGATCCGGGTCACGCTGAAGCTGCGCAAGGAGACCATCCTGCTGCACACCGGACCGGATGCCGTGCACTACCTGTCCTTCCAGCTGCACCTGATGGCCGTCATGGCTCTGGTGACCGTCGTCTCGCTGGTCATAATCCTCCCGGTCAATTTCTTGAATGGTCCCAAGGAGAACCCGTACGATGTGAATGCCTTTGGCAGGACTACCATGGCTAATCTATCGCCCAATTCGCCTTGGCTTTGGGTGCACACGATCATCACGATTCTCTACATTCCGCTGGTGGTGCTCATCATGCGGAGAGCCTCGGGACGGAATGCCTTCAAGAAGGCCGCTACCCGCACCATTATGATATCGAACATCTCGTCCAGCGATCGGAACAAGACCGTGGTGCGGAACTACATGCAGGAGCTCTTCCCGGACGTGACCATCGAGAATGTGTCGATAGCGTACAACATTTCACGGCTCTACGTAAGGAACGCCGAGTTCGAGCGAGTGCACGATGCTCGGGTGTACTGCGAACATCACAGGAACAGAGATACTCTGATGGTGAGTTGATACTAACCAATTGGTCATGTAATCCTTATTAAACTATCTGTTAATCCGCAGGCCAAGCCGGACATGTGTTCCTGCAAAAAGGAGAACGCCTACGAGTACTATCAACGAGAGGAGCGCAAGTTATCCGGGGATGTGGCCCGCCTGCGCGCCTCCACGATGAACGAGCCGCTGGACATTGCGTTCATCACGGTGTCCACTGTGCAGGAGGCGCAGAACATTGTTACCCACTTCACGCCGGGCACCTACCGCCAATGGCACCTGGTTTTCGCTCCCTCACCGGATGACCTCTTCTGGGAGAACTTGAACGTGAACAAGAGCCACTGGTACTTGAAGTTCTTCTGCGTGAACACTGTGCTCTTTCTGGTTCTCTTCTTCCTGTCCACGCCCGCTATGGTTGTAAGCCTTCTGAACAGCCGACCTTGGATACAGGAAACGGAAAGCAAGATCTCGCCGCTGGTGTCTGATTTCCTGCCCACTCTGATGCTCTGGACGCTGTCGGCACTGATGCCCGTTATGGTGGCCATTTCGGACAAGTGGATGCGTCACTACACGCGCTCCAAGCAGAACTACTCGATCATGACCAAGTGCTTTGGCTATCTGCTTATGATGATCATGATTCTGCCTTCCCTGGGACTGACTTCTGCACAGGCACTGCTGGAATGGAGCTTCAATTCAGCCAATCAGACCGAGCGCTGGCAGTGCATTTTCCTGCCCGAAAGAGGATCCTTCTACGTGAACTACATAATTACGGCTGCGTTCATTGGTACTGCCTTGGAGCTGTTGCGCTTCCCCGAGCTTATTGTCTACATCTGGTCACTGCTAAAGGCCAAATCCAAGGCCGAGACGCCATACATTCGCAAGGCGATTCTAATCGAGTTTCCCTTCGGAACGCACTACGCCTGGACCACGCTCGTTTTCACCATTGCCATTGTGTACAGCGTGGCCTGCCCGCTGATCATGCCGTTCGCCATGATTTACATCTGCTTGAAGCACTTCGTGGACCGCCACAACCTTTATTTCGCCTACGGACCATCGAACATGATCTCACGCAAAGGGGGAAAGATCCACTCGACGGCAGTTACGATGACCAAGTTCTCGGTAGTGATCTTGGTCCTCGTCATGGCCATGATATGTTACTTCCGCGGCGACGAGGGCATGGCCCGCTTCCTGCTGCTTATCATCAGTCTGGCCATCACTCTCGTTCTGTTTACGTTCATGTCACCAATCAAACGCTGTGCCGCCACGCGGCGCCCAAGCATCGTGGAGATAGCCGGTCCGGCACCCATCTACGTTCCCGATGTGCTCAAAGACAACGGGGTGAGGACCAGCAGTGTGCGACCCTCCGTCGCAGGATTCGGAGGCTACGGCTCCGACAGCGTGTCCGAGTACGATAGTTCGCAGTACAGCGTGAACAGTGTGGAGGCGTAAATAGTATTAGCGTCGCAAGACACCACATTTATTTTTGTAAAATATCTATAGAAGCCACTGAGAACTTTGCAAGTTGACGGCTTTGATTTGCATATTTGAAAGAATGACTGGAGGATAACACCAAGAGAATTTGTGATACCTAAACCAGCCTCAATGTCGTTTTTGATATGACCCCTGCACGCAAACGCGATTGCAATATTTATTTCTGATCTGTATATAATCTAACTAATTTCCCAATTTTATCTGTAACAACTGTACATACTATATCCCCTTGCTAAATGCTTAACAAAAGAGCTCGATGCAGTAATGCTGTTAATATTTTACAAGTGAAACACACAGTGCATTATATTATTTCACGTAATTTTTTTATTTATGGTAAATAAAAAACTATTAAGTTTATGCGTATCTCCTTTGCGTACAGAGTTACGAGTACGAGTTATAATTATTTAAATATTTCCTTTAGAAAATTAGCCTGCAAGTGTCACTTCTATTGTTAATTGAAGGAGAACTATCAATTAAAAGTAAACGAAATACAATAGGTCCAATAAATGAGTTTATTGAACGCTTGGTTCTTTCTCGGTTTGAGGAAATTCTTGTATTGCTGGACCTTTCTACTTTCCGATGGCGATGACCTATTCCAGGGGGCACGGCTTGTAAATTAAACGCTTAATTTATTGGTTGATAAGGTAACTTACAAAAAGAACTGTAGCAACTATACTACCATTAGCTGGGGGATTGTTCAACGATCTAGTTATAGAAGAAACAAAATTACAGCTTAAAATCTTCTGAATATCGCTGATCGGACCAGGGACACTCCAAAAACTTCATTAGACTGTTAGTATGTATGCGTATGGTATTGAATCGGTGTTTGGAGTTCACAGAACCTGGGGCAATTTATGCCACATAGTTGTATTGATTTTGATTATCCTTGTCCCGCTCCATGTAGTCGCGATCGATGAGCGACTCGATCCGCTTCTTCAAGTCAGCGGGCTGAAATAAAAATAAGCTCATTAGGCTGCTAATAATAGAGATGACTAATGGCTACCTTGACGGGGAAGGTGAGCTGGTTGAACAACTCGGTGATGAGTAGATTGTGGCTTAGCGTTTTCCGCATTTTCATAATACGCACAATAGCCGCATCTATTTGATACTGGCGATCCTGGAAGACTCGCTCCTCAGTCGCCTTTTGCTCCTCGTTCTGGGGAATAATTGGATAAATAAGTTTCTAAAAAAAGCTGTCTGTAATATGGGTCACTCACCGTCTCCTTCATCTGTATTTGGTTGATCTTGATTCTGAACAATTTGTTTGTGAACTCATTGTTAAAGTCAAACTGATCGCCATCTAAAATTTCGCGACCTTTCGGCGTTTTTGTTATAACGCGGGCGCGACCGCAAGCCAGAGATTGGAGTGTTCTGCGCAACTCTCCATCCTCAATCAGGGTGGCGGCCAATATCTCCTCGTAGCTTAGAATTGGCTTATCGTTAAACAATAGCAGCACAAGCGCTTGAAACAGCGAGACCAACAATTCTTTGGGACCCTGAAAGACAGATAGGCATTTAACAAAATATTCCATAGAATGTAAAACTATATTTTAGTTACCGCATCAAACTGCGCACGCAGCATACAATTTCCCAACGTTGGTTGCCACTGCAACTTTCGCCCGCTGTGCTTTTCCAGATAGAACTTATTGAAAATCTGCTGCGGATTAATGAACTGTGGCGGCATTGTGACTTCCGTGGGCGCATATGTCGGCCAGTAGCCCATGGTCAGGATGCTGACGCACAAGTCCAGGTTGTGGACATCGCGATTGTTGCTCAGTGCGTGTCCGCGGAACGCAATGTTGATATCCCGGCTCAATTCCATGTCCTTAAACATACCCTCCAGCTTGGAGGTGAATCCTCCGCCGCACTCTTGTTTTAGCTTGGACAGCATACTCTTTTCGGAATCCACTGAGGCCGATTTGCCCACCAGTAGACGTTTGGCCAAGTCCTAAAATTGTTTTGGTCATTAGTCAAACGATAAATACAATAAGGAGCCACATACTTTTTTGTAAAACGCTTCAAAAACATCCTTGCCATGTATAAAACGGAACAGTACCATGATTTTATCCAGAGTCTTCTCCAACTCCTCATCGGTGGTTCCCTTGTTGCCCGATCGCAGTTTCATATCCACGTATTTGGCTAACGGAAGAATTAAGTTACATGAAATTGTGTTAGAAATAGCAAAACCATGAAGACTTACCAATGAGCTCGGCCGGCTTGTTGGCACGCTGGTTGATAAAGAACTCAAAGGCCTCGCGCAACGAGTTTGTGAATTTCTCATTATGCTCGAAGCAACTGCGAACGATCACATCCATTTTATCCTTGAAATCTAGCAAATCTTGAACCATGCTCTTGTCCTTCTCAGGATCGATAACAATGGTGCGCCCCTTTTTCTTAATGAAACCGTTGAAGTTGCCACACAGCTCAGAAGTTCCATTTTTGACTCGGCTAAGCAGCCCGTACAAAAGTGTGAGGTCGTTCAGTCGGTTGTCTTCCAACAAGGAATCCAAGCCCTTCTGCAATATCGACGTTAAGTGTTCGGCGAGCAGCTCCTTTTCCACATTGTATATCAGCGGATGTCTGAGAAAAATACATTAATAAAGTAAAGATCTTATGGTAATTTCTACTGGTCTTGCTTACTTTGTGCTGGAGTCCAGATAGTGGCGCAAGCGCTCGTTCTCCTCGGCCAGACGCTTGTTGACGTGCTGTAAGTACTCGGGCACCTCCAGCTCCTGCATCTTGCGTTGACTTTCAGCCTTGTACAGTTGGTTGGTGGCATCGAGGAACTTCTCCTCAAAGGAGCTAGTGTATATCTGCAGGTCGCACAGCATGCGTACCAAGCTTTTCAACAGACCTCTGTCCACAGTTGAGCCCTGGCGTTCCTTTTCGATCAGCGTTAGTAGACCGTCGACGGTCCGCTTTTGGACGACGCTGTTCTGAGCAAAATGGATGCGAAAAAGGTCCAGCCCCATGTCCCAAATCGAGTGAATGGACGAGTTCTGCAGCACGTAGGTGCGGTCCATGTACAGGAATATGCTGCGAATCATGATCATTTGCTGGCAGAACGAAAGCCACCAGTGGTTGATCTTTTCCAGCAAAATCTGCGAGGCAATTAAGCGGGTTAATTTTTGTTTCTACTTTCTCGGCAACAACTCACCAGTTTGTCCATGCTGCCGCCGGTAAGCTCCTTGAGCTTTATATTGCGCTTCACGTGCTGCTCCGTCAGTTCCTTGAGTTTAGTGTACAACTGCGCATCCATCTTGTGGCTGCACATGTTCACCACAGCCTGGTAGAGCTCTTCAAGCGAATATTTGATGGGCTTCGACAGTTGGATAGCGATAACGGCTTCCTCGAGCTTCACGTACGTGTCCTCGGAGTAGTTATCGGGCAGTGTGGGCTTAGCTAAGGGGAAGATGTTCAAATTAAGCATTGAAAAAATATAGATTTAGATATAGAACTTACCCTTGAAGTTCTTAATCACTATTTTTTTGACATCCCCGGGTTTGCTGTTGTGTATGGCCCCCATGCGATTGAGGAGGTTTGAGGTAGTTGAAGCCGTGCGAGTCTCGGCATGGCTACCGCCCAGCTTCGAGAAGTTCGGCAGGCGCTCGCCGTTGGTGGACGTGGAGTTCATGTTTTGGGCAGCGAAGGCACTGCGGCCCAAAGTCGCGGCGCCGGCAGCGGTGGGGGCTACGTTCTCGGCCTTCTTCAGGCAGGCGGCAATGTTCTCGGTGTTCTCGTGCAGCTCAGTTGTGTCCATGGGCTTGTACTTCTTGGCAGCACTCATAGTTTTGGGCCCCTGCTGCCGGCAGGCTCTCCACTCCGCTCCTGTTCGCCTGATCCTGCCCTGCTCCCGTCTTACCGGTCTGTCCTTGGCCTGTTCGCGGAGGTTAGTCACTGTTAGCGGGTTCTAATATCTCATGCAGGCATCTTAATTGTTTAGTTTCTTACCGCTCAGAGGACTACCAGCAGGTATCTCTTGTGTTTTTGCGTATTTTGCACTGGGGCCCGACAACCAATTGGCAACTCGCGACCTCCAGGCGATGAGACTTCTCGGGCAATTTCCGGCTGCGGGCTGGGCTTTTCCGACTGTCGGAGTCCTGGTAAACGAATGGGGTACTTCAGCGACTGGGGGACTATACAAATCGGATCAACTTGGCAATTATATTTCCACAGCTAGCATTATAATATTTGGTTTTTGGTTGCATGCGGAAAATATTGCTTTATTGTAGTAGGGATGTGATATCGGGCGAATCGAAACATCGATTGGCTGGGAGAATCGATAGCTAAGCGGGGGAACTGTTAAACGCCAGAGCTGTTAACCAGGTTAACATTGTTTATCGCTGTAAGCACGAGGTTTGTTCGAAAGGTAAATATGGAAAATCATAAGAAAACAAACTGTTTTTAATAGCTTAAATAGCATATCATTTGAGACTCACTACTCTACGTTTTCCAGAAAGTCCCTGCGTGAAAAATGAAAACAGATCCTGACCAAAAGCCACCATTGAAAACTAAAGAGCGAAAAATAAATGGGGACCACTTTCCAGCTAGAAGAATACCACCAAATGTTCTAAAACGCACCCTAGAAATCGCCACCAATTTCGAGGATGGATATTGGACAAATAAAAACACATCGTGTGTTCCCCCAACCAGCTACGAATTATACTCCGGTGCAAAACGATCAGTAACCTCCGAAAAACTTCGTTTGGCTCGAAGTTGCCTCATGCAGCGGGACTACAAGACTCTGGCCAAAATTCTGGCCTCCAATCACTTGGGGGAAGGTACGCTACAGAAGACGGCATTCACAGTGTTTTCTGAGTATTCCGGCTTGCTCCAAAAACACCCAAAACTCAACACAAAGATGGCCAAATCCCAAGAACAACCGACTCGTCCAAAAAGTCCTATAGTTGAGGAGGAAACCATGGATTATCTTTTATCTTAGTTTAAGCCCCATTCGAATTCATAAAATTAAACGATTGTCTTTATTTTTGGTAAAAACACAACCTTATACATGTGTATATTTAATAAGCGTTATGTTCTTCCTTTTATTTGACTTATATCATTATCAATATCTTTTAAGGTTTTGCTAAATAAATACTGAAACGTGTGTACAAAATGTGTGAAAAGAAAAAGGTGTGTGGTGTTTTAAAAATTGTGTATATACAGTTTAGATTTTCAAAATGATCATATGTGTCAAACAAGTCTCGAAAGTAGATACCTTGTAATTTGTAATATTTAAATACGTTCATATATATATTGGGTACTTAGTTGGTAACAACTTCTAGGTACAAAGGGCTTTTGTTTTCCTTTCCGCAGAATAATGCTCGATTTTCTTCATAATAGCAATGGTGGCTCTCGAATTACGTTCGCAATTGGGTTAGTTTGGGTAAATTGATATTTCTTTCAACGTTGTTTTATAAACTCTTCGTCAAACCATCAACAACAGATTTAGAATACTTGAGTACGAGTGTAAGCCAAGTTCAAGATCCCGACCAGGTCGGGCCTCCCGTGGATATAGTTAGTGTCTGTTTATGGCAGCATAAAGTACAAGCATACAATACATAATTTTATCTCCTGACAATTCTTCTGACATTGAGTAACTTTTGCGCACAGCTTTGTAGGCTAAGATAAAGTTATGTAGATTTGGATACGCTACGAATTACAGCATTTGCAGGACAGTTATCAGTTATCAAAGCGCTAACTTTGGGGAGGAAGCCTTCGGGAAATGCACAGCAAGATCTCTACTTAAAGGCTCTGATTGAAGTATAGGTGTAAATGAGTAGTTGTTGGCTTCTAAGCTTAGGGTGGCTCACTTGAGACGTGTTTACATGTTTAGTCTTAGGCAAATAAATAGTCGCACGCTTTGTGATATAAAATGCTTGTAATAAATAAAAACTTGTCTTATGTATCATTAGGGTTTAAAAAGACGCATACACACACATCTATATATATATCTATATACAATCACGCGCAGCCACACACTCAGCACAAACAAGGGATTGTTTAATCGGGCAGCATATGCACGAAGCTGACGGGAAACATGCCCTTCCTCGCCGGCTGTCCCTCGATGATGCCCTCCATCCAGTTCTCGTCGTCGGTACGCTCATTCAGCACGATCAGGATCTCGCCCTCCTTGAACTCCAGCTCGTCATCGTTGTCCGCCACGCAGTCGTAGAGAGCACGGCACCGTCGTTGACCATTCTGTTTGGAAAGTGGAATATTATTGATTAGAATTTGATGATTACTGGACCTCGGATTTTGCATATTTGTCCATTTTTGGTCCGATTTTTACCAAAATTTCTAGGTAGGTGTCATATTTTTCAAATGTAATAAATTCGGATGCATATCGGAAATATGCAAAATATAGGTATGCAAAAAATATATGCATAAAATATGCAAAATATATGCGAACAACTGGAGGCTCAAATTTTTAAATTCTAAGGAACCTTCAGTAAACACGGCTAGCAATTTAAACGAGCAGTTTGGCCGATAGGGTCAAAAACTATTCTGCCCCTTTTACTATTTTTGCCCCCTTCTCGCCTACTCGTTGGAAATATAAATACGGTTTCCCTAAATTTGGGAAAAAATTAGATATCGCAGAAATGACGAAAAGGAACAAACAATTTTCTTCGGGTAAATTAGGTTTGCTATGAAATGGTCAATCTTGAATATTTGAGTTTATTTTATATTTTGCATATTTTACGCATTTTCATTTTATGCAAATATGCAAAAAACAAAAAAAAATGCCATTAATTTTAAACTATATTTTTATTGAAACGAACTTTGGTGTTTTCGGAATTGATCTATCTTTATCCTATAAAAATATGCAAAATCCGAGGTCTAATGATTACTGTAATGACAAAATAAAACTTACATAGTGGAACTTCCCGCCTGATCCTGGTGCGCCTGTCTTTGATGGATTATCTGGCGACGAGTTGAGTCGGTCGTTGTCACTCGAGGACACATTCGACTCGGCTGAATGATCCAGGCCGCCGCCCGAGCTGTCCATGTCAGTGTGCCAGGACTCGTAGTCGGTGAAATTGGCCGACTGATTAATCAACTGCAATGTGCACAAAGGATAATTATTAGCCAAGCTGAGCAGAACAATGGCATACTAGAGAGCAAACAAAATTGAACACAGAGAAAGATCGATTCGATATAGTTTGTGAGTATGGGCGCATAGGGTTAGAGCTTTGAGAGATGCACAAAACGAGACACTTAGTAGAGGAACGACAACTGCAACAGCAACGACAACAATAAGTTTGCATAGTTCGCTGGTCAAAGAATGAAAGTGCAAATGAGCGGAGGTGCTTGCCATTTACCGTCTCCTCGCTGGACTGGCTGACTCTCAGTGCGATGGTGTGTTGCTTGCGCTGCAAATTGTTTGCCGAGTGCGGATCAGGATCAAATACAGAGAAAGGTATGGGTTTTTTTTTTGTCAGCTAGAGCTCCTTTCAATCACCCACTATACATTCTATTTGGGGGACTTACCTTGCGAGGCGGCGCCACTGGACCCTCGTCCATTGAACTGATGCTCTCGTTCGACTGGCCGTTGGAAATTTCACGCTCTGTGGGGGGAAAGAGATTATAAATTCTGCGATTTATTGCAGCTATCACTCAGCTCACCTGGCGGGGGCCCCGGTGGGGGAATCTTTGGCCGTGTCAGCGCCGATTTGTCCACGTGCTTCAGCGTTGGCAACTCACCGGTGGGCGGCAGGACCAGCTTGGCGCCCGCCAAATGGATATTTCTGTTCAGCGACTCACCGCTGGGTGAACGCTTATGGCCGAAGGTCGTCATGGCGGGCATGAGACTGTTGTGGCTTCCGTTGCCCGATCCTCCCGGATCCTGAGACACTCCATAACCCTCCGTACCCTCCTCCGCCACCCCGAGGGCTGCTCTCCACGCTCCGCAGGTGCGGCAACGTGCCGTACGCCACGTCCAGCGACTGGTTCTTGTGATTAATGGCGCGAATGTCGCTGGCATCGAAGTTCTGCGAGTGCCGTGGCGGATGAGGCAGAGTGCCGTAGAAGGAGGAGCTGGACGAAGCGCTGCCCAGGGTGCCGGGCGGCGGTGCCGGGGCCGTTCGCTTCTTCAGCGAGTTCATGTTGGCCGTGGACGTGGACTTCCGTGCGCCCACCACATTGCCTCCCAGATCGCTCTGCATGTTCAGGCTGTTTCTCGCCGCACGGACGCTCTGGCTGGAGGCGGAACTGGGACTGGAGCCGCCGTTTCCCGGCGTTCCCAGCGCCTCCCACATTGGTGGTACTGCCCAGATACTGACCCACGCTGATGTGCTGTTTGGGCGAAGTGCCCGCCGAATGTGTATAGCTGGGCAGACCCGAGGGCAGCGTAAATTGGCGGCTCGGACAGTTGGCGATTGGACTAGAACTGGACTGTATGGAGTCGCAAGTGGAGGAACGTGAGCGCAGAATGGGCGAGTCCCCGCCAGCAAAACTGGGGGGACGCGAACGGGATTTCTGCAAGCAAACGAAACAGGCATCAGCATGAATTTCGATTGAATCATAGGCATAACATACGCGCTCATCGATGACCGTCTCGTCGTCACTGAAATCCGTGGAACCATCCTCGTTGGGCAGATTCCAGTCGGTGTTTATGTGGTCGAAGGCGCTCTTCTCCCGCTTAATGGCACATTCAATCTGCAAGATATCATACGTAGATTGGTATTTATTTGCATAGATTTGTTTAATATATCTTACAAGCTCCCTGCAGCTATTGTGTCCCATCTCTTTGGCAATATCCAGCGCTGTCTTGTTCTGAGAGTTCTTGAGCTCGTAGTCCGCTCCGGAGCGGAGCAGCAGCTTCATGCACTCCCGGCGATCGTGAAGAGCACACAGATGCAGAGCCGTATTCTTTCCGGTTACGTCCAGCAGGCCAGCCGGATTGGTGGCTTTGTTGAGACCCTTGGGCGGCATATTTTGGATGAGAAAATCGACTATGTGCAGCGTAGAACCCATTTCGCGCAGCACGGCCAGATGGAGGGCCGTCTCGCCGGCATCAGAGCTGGGCAGACAGCAGGTGAGATCCGCTCCTTCCGCCCACACCTGGAGCAGCTGACTCATGTCCGCATTGACCACCGCCTGCTCCAAATCGCACCGCAAGTCGTTGTCATCCGCGCAGGTGCGCATCACGTAGCGTTTGGCCACATACTTGGCACGAATGAAGTCGTATCGCTCCTCCCTGAAAACGTAGATTTAAGAATTTATAAACAATCAAACATGTATTATACTATTTTTTTATAAAGATTAAAAATTTCGATTTGCAGAAAACCGGGAATGAGATATTTTTTTTTAAGTTTGGACTATAGTTTGCACTGGATCCATTATGGGTGGTATTTTTATCTGAGAGCTTGGCAAAAATAATAATTTTAAAAGTAATTTTTATTTTTTACCATAAGTAATTTAAAATTATAAATTAATTAAACAAAAAATAGCATTGCCATATCTTCGCTTCTGCCAAATGGTTTTTTTTAAACTTTTTTAAAAATCCTTTTTAAATGGTGTGATATTGTCATAAAAATAAGATATCGTTTTGAGACCATGAAAAAAATCTCGATATGTTTCACAAAGAACCACTCATATCCAAATTAAACTTACATGCTGCTCTCGTGCTGCAGCTTGCCCCTGCCCAGCTTGGCCTCCATAATGTCGTTCAGTGTGCTGTTGCCCATGGCACGAGCAATTAGCAGGTTGGCCGTGGTCAGGTTGTCCAGCGTAAGGCTCTGGATGCGCGAGTGGTGCACGCCCAGGTCGCGATGCACACCAGAGCACTGGATGCACACCAGAATGCCAAAGTTTAGGCTAATCCAGGTCACATCGTTACGCGATCCACAGTCGCAGCACCGATCGTTGCCAGGCAGAAGCTGCACGTAGCGGATCACAGTCTTCTGCAGCTCCACCAGACTGGGACTCATCTGTGGATTGGCGTGCTGGAAGGCCTTGGTCAACGCCTTCTCCTTGCAGTTCACCAGCACGGCCATCCAGGCCTTCTGGTCGCCCTCGTCCTCCGCCTGAAAGTGATACGGACGGTTGTCTGCGAATATAAAAATGGGATTTTGAGATTATGACTGAAAAAAAGCCAACAAACTACACTTACAGCTAATCAGATCAAAGCCACGCTTGTCATCCGGCACCGGTTTGATCTGGCAGGTGAGCAGATTGACGCGCGTTGGCGGCTTGGACTCGTCCGCATGGAATATGTCGAGGAATCCGTCGCTTGTGACCCGGCAGCGTCGCTTCTGCCACACGCGACGCACCTTGCCCTCGCTCTTCTTGAGCAGATGGCCCTGTCGCGTTACGCCGTGATGCTTGTCGCCCTGCAACTGGTGGAGGGAGTAACCAGCTCCCCCACTTCGGCTCTCCGACGACGGCACATTGTCCACTCGCTCGAAATCTGGAGTGCTGCGCAGAACTGTTCGCAAATCGAGCAGGCTGCGACGATCCTCGTCCTGCTTCTGCTTAATCTCGTGTAGTTTCTCGCTGAGATCGCCGATGTAGGTGCCGAAGTGCTCGATCGTCTGCAGGCCGTCCTTGAAGTAGCTATAAGGGTGGGAGGCAACATATTAGTAGAATGTACTGACTTTGGTTAACTGATTTATCCACTCACTTGCTCAGCGCGTGATAATACTCAATAAGGTGCTGCAGCAGCTCGATTCCCGTCTTGGTCTTGATGTCCTTGTACTTCAGCAGATACTCGCAGGTCTGCAGCTGATAGAGGCGACGCTCCTTCTCCATTTCCTCGGCCACCACGGCTGCGTCAATCTCCGTGCGCACCATGCCCGCCTCCTTGGCCTGCGCCTTCTTCTCCTTCTCGATCTTGATGAACTTTGCCTCGTAGTCCTTGGCCGCCTTGTCGAACGGCCGCTTCATGTCGCCCTTGACGCCCCGCAGTTCGCTCTTCAGCATCGAGTCCACCGGAAACATCACAATGTTGTTGATGTTTTGCATCTATTTGGGTGGGTAAACAAGTTAGCTCAGAGATAATGCCGTAATGAGCACAGCCAAGAGATATCTACCAGGGTCTTCATCAGCGCACTGAGCTCCTTGGTGACCACGCTGAACTTGAGGAATGCGGCACCAATGTCCGGCTCATCCTGTTCGATGACCTTGCCGCCCAACCGCTCCAAGGCGCGCACCATAAACATCTCATTGTCCACATGGGCTGTAAGATAAGAGCACCCCCAAAGATTATTCACAAAAAAAGAATATATATTTTTTCGTACTCACTGTTTCCCGAGTTGTGGATGGCCTTGACCGCCTTTTTAAGCTTCGTTAGACCCTCCCGATCAAACTCCAATCGCTGTAAGAGGGAAGATCATTTAGTTAATGTATGATCACTTCAATAAACAAAAACAAAAGTTAATAATAACTGATTTTTAAAAGTCTTGGGGTTTTTTTTATTATCTTTCAAGTAGCGAAATTTGATTTATTTTTAATCAAGAACAGAAGTTAATAATAACTATGATGTTTAAATAGTCAGGGGGCCTATCTAAGGAAGGGAAGGGCCTTAAAAGACTTAAAGAAAAAATTCTCTGATAGACTTATATTTGAAAAATCCAAAATAACTGTTATTCAAGACTTAAAAAAATCAAAATCAAAAATAAAAGTTATTTTTGAGCGATATTATATAAATTGATTAATATTTATTTTGAAATTGTGAAATAACCGTTAAAATTTATTTTTTAATAAAACTTATAACGGTCTCTGAAATTGACAAATATGTAAAGGTTAAAGAATTTTGTATTATTTTTTAATTTACGAAATTCTTTATTTTTTAATGAGTAGGCGGCACCTTCTGTGTTGTAAAGGAGCAGCCACAATGCATTCCCAAGCTCAGCCAAAAATGGGAAGACAAAATAGAGGAAACGCCTTGGATGGACGCCGAATGAACAATATATTCCCAGATTGAAACCGCGTCAATATCGGCATTAGGTATTCAGACCGCCTCTGAGTTGACCAACCCCTTCGATGTTCCCCCACATTTTATGGCACTAGCTAATTGAAAATGTACGACAAGGTCACTTCTATTATTAAACTTAATAACCGAACGAGCCCCATTTCAAATGCAGTCGCATGCACCAATTAAGACAGCAAGTGAAAAAGATTTCAGGCACTTTTCCCCCATAAACACGCCCCCTTTTCCTGCATGAATGTTTAATGTGGTTGAAGTTTTTTGATAAACAAACAACGGAACCACATAAACATTATTTCAATCCAATTCTGAAGTAAAAACGAAAAAGAGTTCGTTTCCCCCAATGACCCATTGACTCTCCCCAATTGCTTTCAATTCGAAATGTTGTATAGAAAATTGAATTAGTCGCCGGGAAGAAAGGGGCAAAGGGATCCCGGATTCACCAGGGAATCACATAGAAATCGACAGAGATCGCTTACATTCAGTTGAAGTGGAAATACGAGCTACGGGCAGGCAACTGCCCAATAAATTCCCGAGATTAGATTAAATGTTATGTGCTGAAAATAATTTACAAGCGATTCGGCAAAGAGCCAGCTCCAGGGAAACCTGACTATTTGCGATTGCAATTCGATACTAGGCGATAGTGGCAAACATCTGGGGACAAACGAACCCCTGGCAAACGGCTGGAGAAGATTAGTCATGGGCCGAGGTTGAGCAAATTACCGGGAATGCAAACAACACGCCTAGAACGAAAACAAAAACCAGCTAACAATATTCGTCAACTTGTTTCGCTCTCTCGACGAGCTGACTTGCCCAGTTAGCTGTTTTGATAACAACAAAAGATGCTAATTTATAATAAGTCAGAGCCCCAGAAGAAGGCTAAAACCGCAACACTTTGTTATAGAGGCGGCCAAATGAATGGCACACAGAGAAACTCTTGGCTGAACCAAATTAAATTTCATTTTAGACAGTTTTACAGCTGCTCCAAATATAATAAACACGCAATGGGAGAGACTGGCTGAAAAAAAAATGAAATAAAATTCATTTAACTGGCGGAATGGAGGTCATTGGGCTGCTTGGGCTACACCAAAAATCCATCAGCGAAATTAAATATTAAATGTTTGATGTGGTGTCCAAGAAGGCGGCCCAGAGTTCCCGGAAAAAGTGGGAATGACGTGACCAATAAATCGTCTAATTTTGTCTAGCTGGGCGCTGCATTTGTCGGGGGAATTGGAGCATTATACATAAATAAATGTATATATTGCACAATCGGGCCACTCTAGAATCTGTTCCAGTGACAAAATGAATGAATTTTCCACTTAGGCAGTCGGCGTTTTCTGTGGGCGATATCCCCAACTTACTAAGTGTCCGTACGGGAATAGCTTTGGCCCTCCATTTTCGCTTTTCTTATCACACGCCTTTTTCCGGCCGTACAATATTCTTTGTGTGCTTAGCTTTATCAGAGGGCGGACGGGGTGTGCGTATTATATATGTGTACTTAAAAGAGGCGACATCACAACAGCTGCCTTGAGTAAATATAGAAATTGCAGCATGCTCATGTGGCAACCACAGTTCCCAGTACCCCGCTCCCCCTAGCTTCATCTGCATTGATATAGCCAGGAATGCACTTTGTGTTTTCATAATACTATTTTTATGGAATCGAGAAAAACCACCTTGCGGGGAAATTGTAGAGAGAGAGAGAGCGAAAGCTGGTGAGAGAGACCGCATTATAATAACAGGCGGTGGCTCATTTTGGCGCCGCGCCAATTTACAAATCTTTTTTCTACTTCCCCCTGTGCAAATAATAATCATAATCGTTTTGCGGGGGTCGTCGTCTACCATGTTTACTGCAGTATTACACGGACATATATCTAGTCATGCTCCGGTTTTCACTTTCACGGAATTCCACTAAATTTCCTTTAAGTATGTAGAAATTACGAACTTGAAATTTGATTTGTATTACCAAATTTCTTACCAAAATCTTATATTTATTGCAAAAAGATATTTTAGCCATACTTCGTAGAATCCACAAAGATAAATAAAAATTCTTTCTTTGTGCTAAAATAAGACTAATCATCAAGGGACACATTTTTTATTTATGTATGCAAAGGGATCTGAAACTGAATATTTGTCTGACTCTTGGGAATTATCTGAGAAATATCGTTTTCGTTACAAATAAATTACTCATCGGTTCAAAGTCTTTGAAATAAAAAAAAAAAAAATGATAACAACTATTGAAACCCTATATAATTGTATATGATATATTACAATAATCCCTCTGAATATGTGACGGAATTTATATTCTGCTTATCAATTAAACATTTTTCTTAGTAGCTAGCTATTTTTCTTTCAGAAAGTATTATTAAATGAAAAACCCCGGATCAGTTGAATTGATTTCTTATTTGCTGAGCAGTAAGTATAGATTCGTATATTTCAGTTTAAAAAGTGAACTAAACAGAAACAGAAATGGGATTCCCGGAACACACCTGTAATATGGCCGGATTAGCACAACAACCACCTTGAACCATTGTTTTGATTGTGTACCAAGAGATGGGCAGATGGTTCGTTATAGATCCTAACTACCTAAGGGATAGCTGTTATCCCTCAAACGACACTCACCTCTTCCAGGACGCCAATCGTGTGGCGACAGTCGGGCATCCGGGAGGCGAAGGTGGAGGTGGTGGGCGAGCTGTAGTCGGAGCGCGTCTCCTCCACGAACTCGGACACGGCAATCAGGGATGGCGGCATTTTGCTCAGGACGTCCTTATCCCGATGTCCTGATGTACACGTATCCCTCACTCACACGCACACGGCACCGCACTCACGCACACTCACAGGCACGCGATTCGCACGCACACCAGCTCAGGCCCAAGGCCGTGGCACGGGAGCAGGCAAAGGTGGGAGAGGGACGGCGAATAGCTGAGAAACCAGGATAACGCCTCTATCTCTATGCACTGTACGCGTTTCTACGCCTTTGTTCACTCCCGATTTGTGATGTCGCTCGTCGCACTTTCCCTGGCACTGTAACTCTGTAACCACTTCTATATCCATATATCCACGCACTGGCGTTCTCATCATCCTCTCGCGACTTGGATTTTTGCTTTTCGCTTTTCTGCGTTTCGGGTACTGGCACACTCAGTCACTCAGTACTCGTACTGCTGCACAATTAACGCTGGCTGCTTTTCGATTCTGGGAGAAGTGCGCAGAGCCCGGGCAGCGGGTCCAGAAATCGCGCGAATCATGGCAGGATCAGCAACGCACTCGACTCGGACTGGGACGCGCGGCACTGGACATGGTCGACCTAACTTTAGGCGTGATTTAATACTTTTGTTTTATTGCGATTTTGTGCTGCTGGCGTCTCGCTGCGTACAGTGGGTGTTGTTGTTGTCCTATCGATAACCGCCACTCAGCTATCGGTGGCCAACTCATTACTGCGCTCGACGACCGAGCGCCCGATAACATTTATCGGCTAGCAGCAACGCGGTGTGGATTTCGTTCGGTTTTTCTGCTTTTTCATTGGGATTCGCTTTGAAATTGAGTAATACTGTTAAGATGGCTGGCAAGCGACAGGCCACCTCGAACCTGAACCACGACAACTGGGACCAGGAGGAGGAGCCCGAGGAGCGCGGCACCTTCCGCACGGCCAGCGAGCAGGAGCTCAAGACACGCGTTATCAAGAAGGCGCGCCGCAAGATTGCCGGTGGATCGTCGGCCGCTGGCGAGGATGGCCCCGAAGAGACGCCGTCGGAGCCGAAGAGCGTGTTTAGCGGGTTCTCCGGTGGGTTTTTATGATCTCTTCTAGGTTCGAGGGCCTTGCTCATCCCTTTCCTCCTTTCAGGTTTCGGAAAGCCGGCTGCAAGCGCAGCGGCGGGCTCGCCCTTCTCCTTCCTGGCCAATCTGCCGGCTCAAGGCGCCACCACTAGCAAGGCCTCCTCCTCCACCAGCGAGCCAGCAAAGCCCTCGTTCTCCTTCGGGCTCAGCTCCAGTACGGCCGATAAGCCGGCCAGCTCCAGCATTTTCGGCACCCCCAGCGTCAGCAGCACGGGACCGACCCCATCTCCGGCCAAGGAATCAACAAGTACCACCGATGGCGCCAAGCCGTCCACCTCGATCTTTGGCAACATATCAGCCGCCAAAAAGGAGAGCAGCGAGCCCAAGTTGCCGCTGACCAGCAGCAGCAAGCCAGTCGGCTCCACTGCCACCACTTTGGAGTCCTCCGAGTACCGCGAAAGCGTGGCCGAGTTGAATCGGGCTGTTATGAAGTTCCTGCAGGAGCACATGGACAAGAGTCCCTATTGCATTCTAACGCCAGTGTTCAAAAACTACGAGAAACATTTGAAGGAGCTGCAGGACGAGGAGAACGCCAGAACAAAGGCCACAGCAACACAGCCCAGCTTTGGAGTGCCAGCTGCAGTCGTGCCAAGTGCAACGTCGCCATCAAAGCCGACCTCCACGTTTTCCTTTGGCAAGCCCAGCACCCCGATAGGCGGCACCACATCGCCCTTCGCCAAGAAGCCCAATTGTACTGTAACCAGTGGCGGAACAACCACCACAACCACAACGCCGCAATTCTCCTTCGGCAGCACGGCAGCTTCCAGTGCTCCGGTGTCGACTTCCGCCAGTATCTTCACTTTGCCATCAAAGCCACTGGGAGAAACCAAGGCCGAAGATGCCCCAAAGCCAAGCATTTTCAGTTTCGGAGCAAAGGATACTACCACCAAGAAGGACGAGCCCGCATTCTCGCCACCGAAAACTAATGGCTTTAGCTTCGGACTAAAGAGCAGCAGCGATGACAAGCCAAGCACCTCGTTGTTCGCCGGTTTCGGCAAGGCACCCGATGGAGGAGGAGATGCCGCAAAGGGATTCTCCTTCACCAGCAGTGCCAAGCCCTTCTCCTTCGGAAACATTCAGCCGCCAGCAGCGGCCGCAGTCAGCGAGGAAGCGGAGGATGAGGAGGACAAGCCGCCAAAAGTCGAGTTCAAACAGGTGAGTTGATTACGAAATACTTTAGTTGATGGGAAGGTAACTCAACTCTTGTCTCTCAATAGGTCGTAGAGGATGATGCTGTGTACTCGAAACGGTGTAAGGTGTACATCAAGAAAGACAACGATTATAGCGACCGCGGCGTGGGCACGTTGTACTTGAAACCGGTGAAGGACTCGGAGAAGACTCAACTGCTGGTGCGCGCCGACACCAATCTGGGCAACATCCTGGTCAACCTTATTCTGAGCGAGGGAATACCCTGCCAGCGCATGGGCAAGAACAACGTGATGCTGCTCTGCGTGCCCACGCCGGAGGACACCAAGGCCGCATCGCTGTTGCTGCGCGTAAAGACCGGCGACGAGGCCGACGACTTAATGAAGAAGATCAAGGAGCACATCAAGTAGCGATAGACAGCTAACAAACTGAATTCGTACATCTGAATGTTGTTTAATCGTTTATATTTTAAAGACTATACAATTATGAACACCTGGAAATAGAACACACAAGAATGTACACATAATCAGTCGATTGTGGCTACAATGATTTTGGCCTCTATCATGTCCTTAAGCTGAACGCTTAAAGAGCGCACTTCTTCAGTGGATTCGTCTAAACCGCTTACATAATATTGTCTCATAATACGTCCGATTCCAGAGGGACATGCTGAAAACAGATTGAATGTTAGTTTCGAACTTACAATCTGCATTAGTAGTGACTTACTGATGGTCTCCACTGTAATTGTTTTGGTACGGCGGTTGACGTAGGTGCAGTTCCCGGCAATAAACTCGGTTGTCCCGGAACTCGCGATTCCCTTGGTTTTTAGCAGCTTAAACAGAACCGTATCGCCTCTGGTAGGCAGATTGCTCAGAGGAGTTGCACTCCGCAGCAGGTCTCTGATAATATCTAAGGTGTTTCTATCTTTCGGGACTAAAAAGTAAAAGGTTACTTATATGTCATTCGGATAATTTAACTTTGATATTACCTGGAACCGCCTCCACATCAGAATCCGAGTCTGATTCATCCATATTCGAGTCATCTACGACCATCACGTCGTCATCAGAATCCGAGATTACATTTTCGGCACAAATACGCACTGGTGGGAGTTTTCTATCATCAGATTCCACTTCATTTTTAATCTCTGATATCTCAGCTTCTGCCAGAGGGTTTTCGGCTTTGGGATGTGTCTGCTGGAAGACTTGTATCCACTTCATTTGTTTCATCTGGTAGAATTGATTCAGCTTCATTAGAATCTACAGGCTGAGTTTCTTCAGCTTCGATTGTATCGTCCGGAAGGGTTGTTTCAACTTCTGTCGAATTGGCTGGAAAAACAGGTTCAGTTTCAGTCGAATCGCCTGGAAAAGAGGGTTCAGCTTCTGCTATTTCCTCCGGACGAGTAGTTTCAGCTTCTGCTATGTCCTCTTGAAGAGTTGTTTCAGTTTTATCTTCAGGCAGAGTTGCTTCAGCTACCGAGTCTTCTAGAAGACTCGCTTCCGCCTGAACAGGTAGGGATGTTTCGCGTAGTTTTTCTGGCACATTAACTTCTTGTGTGGATTCTGGTTCTAACATCAAAGTGGATGATTTTTTGCCATTGACTGCCACTGGCTTGGCTATATCCTTGTCTTTTCTCGGTGTATAGCGATTGCTAATGGGTGTAATTACTATATGTTCTAGAATTTTAACCTCGTTTATCTTTTTTGGAATTTCGAATGAGCGTGCAACATTGGAGTCCAGCTCCAAGAGGGGGCAACGAAATGAAATCGATGGACGAGGAGAAGTTTCCCCTTCCTGATCCGCCGCAGTAGTAGAAATTATAGGCGATTTTGGGTAATTCTGGTTTTTGGAACGATTTAGCGTGTTGGTACTCTGCTTAATTTGGTCCAAAGGTGCTAAATGAGATGTTTCCGATGGAATTTTAGGAGATTCCAATGGACTGTTGACTTTGGAACGTTTACAAATTGAAATATATTCGTTCTGTGCCGCTTCGTCTTTCTCCAGCGCTACGGTAATAGATTTTTCTGACTGAATCTCGGATGATTTTGCGAGGCTCTTGTTTTTTGACATTTTTGTCTCCTTAGAAGTGCAACGGGAAGTACTCGTTGAAGCAGAGGTTCCCTTTTCCTGCAGCTCAGTTGTTAAATGAAGTGTTTCCGCACGAACATCAGACGATTTATGGAGGTTCTTGTTTTTGGAACTCTTTTTCTTCTTTGTTGGCTCTTCTTCTGATGTCGCAGAACTAATTTCTGACTGAATTTCAGGCGTTTTAGCTGAGCCTTTATTTTTAGAACGCTTTGACTCCACAGAAGGTCCAGGAGCCTCTTCTTCACGTTCCTCCGCTCTCACAGGAGATGTTTTCCCCTCAATTTTGAGCCATTTTGTGTTGTTTTGGTTTTTCGAGCGCTTTGATGGGCGCAGGGGAGTGGAGGAGTCTAGGAGAACCTCATCCTCGGCGGAACGGTTCTTGCGCTTCTTGCTGGATTTCACTGGAGCAGGACTCACAAAAGCATCCTTGTCATTATTGGCGAACCGAAAGGCCCTGAAGGAGTTGAAATATACTTGTATTTCATCGCTAAGCGGAGTAAGTTCACCTACTTTAGTCCCTCGGCAGATTTGAGTACTTTAATGGATTCCCTGGGGGGCAGAAAACATCCATCTGTGGTCAGCAGGCTGATGTCCTTCTGCAGGAGACAATTTTGTTTTGAACAAAATAGTACCAATTCTTTTATCACATACCAAACTGAAGAGGTTTTGAATATGATCCTGGACGTCTTTGATGTTTTGCCAAGTTGCATCGATAAAAACCAACGACTGCCGACGTTCGTCCTTGAAAAAGTTGGACAGATCCACCTTCATGCTGGAGTGGTGCATTTTATTTGACACTTAATTGACAAAAAAACATAAAACATAAATTAAAAATGCGCCCACTAGATTAGAGGTGGAGTTGAATTCGATTTCGATGTCACTCAATCGATATTTTTAGTTTTCAGAAACCATTAAATTAATTTTTAATTTTAAAATGCATTGCATATTTTACTTTTAAAAAATTTTTTAAAGAAAGTTACCTTATAGGTTTATATGACAAAAAGCTATCTCTTAAAACCCCCACCCCTTTGTGCTATCGATAGCAACAGGGTACATATGCACGACCGATAACGATAAGGCACTTCTTGTGTACTCTACCAACGAAAACAAATAGTTCTTATCAATACAGATTGGCATTAATCACGGCTCCGAATTAGATCAATGATGTGATTCCGCCACGAGGACGCCGTTCCGTTCCGATCCCACTCCAAAATGAGCCACGGCGACCAGGGTCACGGCCAGAGCGGCCAGCGCAGCCAGGAGCGCACTGGCGGAGGCGACTCCAGCAAGGACAGGGAGAAGGAGAGGGAGAAGAAGGGCTGGTTCCACTCGCTGACCAGGCGCAAGAAGTCCGACTCGGCGCTAGCTCTCTCGGCGTCCGCTTCCACCAGTGGCTGCCAGTCGCAGAACAACAACAACGAGGTGTGCGTCCTTGAGGCAGCCAACTCATCCATGGCCAGCTGCAGCAATGGGGGCACGACGACGGGAACGCTGCGCAGGCGGCGGGACAAGGACAAGGAGAAGGACAAGCGGAACGTGTTCGCCAGACTCCGCAGGAAGGTGGGCCAGGGACTCAGCTCACTGCGCAACTGGCACTCGATGAGCGACTGCGACGACGGAGGGACCACGGATGCCACCTACGAGTTCCTCACGCCGGCCATCTGCCTGGAACCCACGCTGCCATTCACGCACGACTACTTGCGCTTCATCCGGAAGAAGTGGCTGGAGCGCGAGGACGCCCACTCGCCCAACCAGGTCATGTACAAGGCCTGCTCGGAGATGATCAAGTAAGCGCTGTAAGGTCAACGGTCGGTGGTGACTCACTTCCTTTGTTTTCGTTTTCAGCCAAGTGTGGTACTGGGGCGAAATCTCCAGGCGCGATTCGCAGCGTCAGTTGAGCGACAAGCCGACTGGGTCGTTCCTGGTCCGCGACTCGGAGACCAGCGGATCCCAGTTCACACTTAGCTTCCGGATTGTAAACGTAACGCTGCACTATAGGCTGGAGTTTAGGGAGGACTTTTGGCACTTCGAGGAGCTCAAGTACGAGTCGATTGTGGAGATGATCGAGGACATCTTGCACCGCTGCACCAACGACAACTTCGTTTGCTTCGTGAAGGTTCCCAACGAGATGCAGCCGCCGTTTCCGGTGATTCTCAAGTATCCGCTTAGCCGGTACGCCAACATGCCCAAGCTGCAGGACCTGTGTCGGCGCGTCCTGCAGCGCCAGATGTCGCGCGAGCAGCTGGCCCAGCTGCCAGTGCCGGCGCAGATGCTGGAGTACTTGTCGGTGGAGCGGGAGCTGGTGTTCCAGAGCTAGACGGAGCCCCCGCTGAGCACCCGCTGGTCAAAGCTTTAACACGGAAGTAAACGCAAGCGCGTACACCAAAGAGATCCGGGCGAAACGAATCCCAGCCTGCAGTTACTCGTAATGATATTTGTTGGTCGGATTGGCAATATGTTTTCGATGCATTTCTACGCCCCCCAGTAACTAAGCGCACAGTCTCTTATCACTCGTGCACTCCGGAATCCCAGTGCGCAAGTTTTTACTAGTACTAGTATCTTGTCTAGGATATAACTATGTTATTGGCCATATTTAGTCTATTGGTTTGTTTTCCATGGGTCTTGGTCAAAAGTCTACACTCGGAAAACGAGTGTGCGATTCCTTAAAAATTTTGTAAAAATCAAACTATTGCATACGTATTAACGTTAGTCCTAAGCCAGATGTATTGTACTATTTACGTTGTTCGCATTTTTGTATTCCTAACTTGGACACTAACTTTTTGCTAATCTAGATTGCATGGAATATAGGCAGCTTTACGGCAATCGAATCTGTTTTCAATGCCAATTACTCTTGTTGCAATGTGTATGTATTTTATTTAAATCTATCTACGAATATTTTACAAGATTAAAATATCAATCAACTCATTGAGCGATCTTGCAGTCAATGAAGTTCGCGAATAAAGAAAGCATCACGTCTAAAATATACTTTATTTATACTTATATGGGGTCTTAAATAGGTGCATTCAACAAATAGTCTAATTCATTTTGTAGTATATCTAATTGTATTTAAGAGACTATGATATTACCTCGCAGCTAAATCATCATTTTGATTTCTTATGTACATGACTTGACTTAATTATCTAATTCGACCACCTCGCCTTCTGTGCGATCCTCCTGCTCGTCCTCCGCCTCCGCATGGTCGTATATACGATAAGCTTTAAACTGACCCACCTTCGCGCCGTCCACGTAAAAGAAACCAAGGAAACATTTGCGGCACAGGTAGGAGGGATCGTGCAGCTGTCGCCGGGACTGTTCTACAATGAAGCTGTAGCTGCGAGTGCCGCACATGTAGCAGGTCCTGCGATTGTAGGTGCTAAAGGCGTGAGGATAGGGATAAAGACTGCGATCTGGTCGTTTGCTGCGCGGCGTTAGCACCTCGACCTGTGAGATGACAAACAGGTGCTCGCAATTCCCGTGGTGCAGGTAGTGCAGCGGTGAGCCCGGACTCACGGTTAGATCGATGAATCGTTTTCCCTCCATTTTCTCCACCTTGAGCGTTTCTCCGTTCACTCCGTTCGCCTTGGCTGCCCATTTCAACACGGTTTCCGAATATTCGGGATTGTTCGGATTGCGCTTGTCATTGTAGAAGGTGTCGTTGATGAAGAAGTAACCCGGATTTGTGTCAATAGAGGGCAAAGGAGCATCGGGATCATGGCTAATGTCCACGAATCGTTTGCCCCGACAAACGCAGCTGATCTTGTCGCGCAGCTCGGTCAGATAGTTGCTGCCCAGACAGACGTATTCCTCGGCGAACACCGGTACCTCCACCTTGAATCCTCGGTGGTAGGCGCGTGGTGGTCGGTAGAGACGCACGGTTAGCTCCAGTTCGCAGGCATCCAGCTGCAGATCGCCGCAGTCCGTCGGCGGTGGATTCAATTTGTAGCTATACTGGGTGCGGCCAAAGGCACATTTACGTGACTTGGTCTTGTGCTGGGCGAGGGCCGCAAAAGTGGAGGGCACATGCTGGTCCTCCTGGGGCTGCACAACGGTGGGACGAAATTGGTCAGTGCCAGGCTGGAAGACCGTAATTGAGCAGTCATCAGGGGATTCTATTAGGTCCAGGGAACAGCTCTCGCCCACGTCAACGAGCACGGGATTGGTTTGCAGGAAGAAGGGTATTTCGTCCTCAGCGCCCGATAGTTTTGTCTCATACTCGGCTAGAAAGTTTCGAAGGTTTAAGGCAGGTTCCGGCGTTATATGTGGTCTCTCCATGATGTGGATTTAATGATCCTCTCCAAACTTGTTGATCGCCTCCTTGTAGGTAATATTCAACTTTAACGACTCCGGCTTGGCCTCCGCCTGCTCGTCCTCATCGGCTTTAACCGATTTTTCGGCCTCCTGATGCAGGTTATCGACGTAGACCCGCTCGAAGGATATCACCTTGGTGGTCTTGTCCACGTACTTATAGCGCTGGCGACAAACGGACTCAAAAAGCGGGTCGCTGGCCAGATTGTCCTTCTCCTTTTCGAAGAACACGTTGGTTCCCACCGAATGCTCGTAGCGCCCGCGGTAGATGCTGCCATTCACCTCCGCCATGGGCGCATCGCTCTCGATTCCGATGATCTTAATAGCCGCCTCCTCGTGGTTCAGCTGGTGCGGATTAACGTGGTTTTTGAAGTCCCCGAAAACTATGTATTCTGTGTCTTCGTACTCAGAATCGGAAGAATCGTTCATGTTCCTACTGAACCGTACGTTTTAGTGCTAAATATTTTGTGTTGTTATTACTTGAAGAGGATTGGACATGAAGAGCGGCAAAATTTAAGGCCTGTTCACACTGATGGCGCAATAGCAACATCGGTTTAAGGTAGGCAATAACGGCGTGATGAAGCGTTTTAAGAATATAAATAATATTTGATTTACTAGTGAAATATTGTGTAGTAATTACTACTTACTATTACCATTGATTGTCTGAGCACTTATCAAAAGATTTTATTAGTTGTGACTTTAAACGGCAGTTCAGTGTGAAATGCATATAAAAATACCGCCGTTCAGTTATCGATACAACATCTCTCACCAAAAACATATCGAGGCGAAAACTGTACCGAACTGTCATCCCTAGAAACGAGGCGAATACAAATCTGTTTTCGGTGGCAAAATTTACGTGCGTTCTCGTATTTCTGTAAATATTAGTCGATAATAAACACTAAAATTAAGTGCTAACGTGGTCTGGCGTACAAAGAAACCGAGTAGACTGCAAAAAGGTTGACTTTCGACCGGAAAACAGCATTTGAAAGTACGTGTGTTTCCACGGGGCAGCGGCCATTTTGGGCGAACTCAACGTCAGCAGAGCGAGCGCCTCTTTGTACATATTTATAACGTAAGAAGAAAAGTGAGTGAAGGTGGCATATGGAAAGGGGGGAAAATGCATTTGAGGCTAATGGCGTTGGGGTTCCACAACCTAAACTTACTCGGATGGAATGCCAATATTTTCACTGCACTTCCATGTCGGCTCTCTTTGTTCGCTCTCTTTACGTTTTCAACTCTCTTTGTGCTCACTTTCGCCGCCCTTTTTTCATTGACAGTTAGCTACGACAACTGCCGTTTTTCGGACCACGCCGGAAGCTTTTGCGCCACCAAAAACCGAGCTTTCGCAGCCAACGTAAACGTAAACAAAATAAAAACCAAAACCATGGCCGATGAGGATATCACACTGAACGAGGACCAGCTCCTGGAGTCGTTGGACGAGACGAACGGCGAACAGGAGACTGAGATAACCACAGAGAACGAGGTGAGTTGAGATGGCCTGACGGCGAGAGGATGGGAGGCGATGCGATGCAATGCGAGATGCGATGGCCAAAAACCAGTTTCTTGGCCCGCCCTGCGAAAGCCCGCCGAATTCCCTGGAAAAGCTTGCAAAGCTTTTGGCGGATACATGTACAAAGCCGAAAGTCGCAGAAATGGCTGCCATTTTCAAAGCGTCGCTTCGCATCACCACTCCATTGTCCATTGTCTGCGTGCTTCTTGGGCGTTTACTCATCAGTCCCATCCGAATCCCACTAAATCCCATCTTTTCCGCGTCGCCAGGAGGAGGGCAGCATGCAGATCGACCCCGAACTGGAGGCCATCAAGGCGCGCGTCAAGGAGATGGAGGAGGAGGCCGAGAAGATCAAGCAGATGCAGTCGGAGGTGGATAAACAAATGGCCGGTGGCTCCACCACCGGCTTGGCCACCGTGCCGCTTTCCCTCGAGGAGAAGCAGGAGATCGACACGCGGTCCGTCTACGTGGGCAATGTGGACTATGGCGCGTCGGCCGAGGAACTGGAGGCCCACTTCCACGGCTGCGGAACCATAAACCGCGTCACCATACTCTGCAACAAGGCCGACGGCCATCCAAAGGGATTCGCCTACATCGAGTTCGGATCGAAGGAGTTCGTCGAGACTGCATTGGCCATGAATGAAACCCTCTTCCGAGGACGTCAAATTAAGGTGGATAACCAATTTCTCTTTTTATTTATACCCGTTGCTTATTGAGTTCAAAATTTTGGGAAAACAGATCTTACAGTTTTCACTTTTGAATTATCAATTTGAGTATCGAGTAGATTTTTAATTTACATTTCTTATAAAACAAGCCATAAACTGAATATTTGAAGTAACTAAGCTATGAAAAAGAATTAAACTGAAAAAGAATTAAAAAATTAAAATTTAAATTAATATTTAAGTAAAATCGAGAATAAGTCCGTATTTGTTATAACCAGTTTGAAACAATGGTTTCTTTTACTTTCAAAATTTGTATTTATTTGTTAATCTTCTATAGTAAACGAATTCAATGAGTAGCGGTTACCTACATATTGCCTTATAGATTATATTCTAACAATTATTTATTGATCTTCAGGTAATGTCGAAGCGCACAAACCGCCCTGGCCTTTCCACCACAAACCGCTTTGCCCGCGGCAGCTTCCGGGGACGAGGAGCCCGCGTCTCCCGCGCATGCTGTCACTCCACCTTCCGAGGAGCCCGACGCGCTATGTAAGTGGGCACTGTCCGATCCCGATTGGATCCAGCTAATCCCGGTCTGTCTTTCGTTTCAGTAGGGGTTACCGTGGTCGCGCCAATTACTACGCTCCATATTGATTATTGTTTTATTAAAACCCTAGTAAGGTAAGCTCACAATTTCAAACTCATCTCCTGAAAAACCCAACGAACGAGACTGCTTTCAACTACCTGAAACTGGTTATTTTTTTGGGATTTGATATATTTAGTTACTACATACGGTATGAAAAACTACCTAAGGGGGAACCTTTGAATAAAACTAATAGAAAAAGAAATTATATAACAGGATTAAATATAACTTTTCAGTGTTTTTATTTATTTCTTTAAATATAGTTAATTAGAGTTGTAAAGTATATGATAATTGGGTATTAGGACCACTAACGACTGAGGCCTTCAGCTTCCTATTTTTAGTAATCTCTCTTAGTAAATGATAAATAGAAGTTTGAATTAAAACATTAATATCAGCTAGCTTAGGAATTTATATTATTACGGCATAGCACAATATTTAATAAATGAGGAACTAAAATTAATAGTACAGGTTCCATGACTGACTGATTTTCTATACCCTTTAAGTGAATGCCTTGTCTTTCATCCGCATCTTATTGGGACGAATAATAATGCCTTCATTTTCCTTACCGACACTCTTCTTTAATCCAATAACTATTTGATTTCAGATTTTTTTACAATATTATTTCAAAAAACATTATTTTATTGCCAAACTTCTTTGCTAAATAAAAACAAAAAAGAGAAAACAATCACAAGAGAAAACGCCAGAAAAAATATCGTTTCAATAAAAAAAAACATCCCCAGCAAGAAAACAGGCGAAAAGAAGAGACCTCGAAAAGAATAAAAAATCAACATGGAAAACGAATATCTTGACTTGGCAATAATGTTTTTTGAAGCACCCAACACCAAACACCCCTTTTTCACACATTTTATTTTCAAATAAAAAATCAAAAAAAGATTATGAAAAACAAGAAGTTGATTTAGAAAAACAAAAAATATATATCAATAAATATATATAAAAGAAACGCAAAAGAAAACCACAAACCATAATAAAAGAAGTTAAAAGATGGCAAAATCAAGTAAAAGAAGGAAGAAAATAATAAAAAAATCAAAAGAACACAAGACTCTTGGCAAAGAAGTAAATCAACAAAATAGATAAAAAAGAAAGTGCGTAATTTATATATTCAAAAAAATATATAGAGTAAAGAAAAGAAGTTGAATTTTACTGAACTGAAAAAGATGATGACAAATATAATCGAATTAAACAAGCTATCTATGCCTTTCCTTTGGGCGGGACAAGGTTTTTGGGATTAAGGATGCGATGTCAAGCTGTTCCTACGGATCGAGTCACTCTACCCCAGCCCCGAAGATTTATAACTATGCATGTGTGGCAGCAAAATAAATAGAACACTCTTCCTTCAAGCACTATTATATGGTTTTATTTCAATTGTAGGATTGCAGAGCCTGAGCGGATTTCGAACTCGAAAATGCCGCCCGATTGGCGGTTTGTTCTTGCGGTTCTAGAATTGACGCGAAACGTGCGCTGCACATCCTAGTTCTTCTGGACGGCGGCCTGCACCAGGGGCAGGTTCTTGCCCAGGAAGCACTTGAAGCCACGGAAGGCCCAGGCGTTGGCGGGCGACTTCTGCTCGTTCTTGTCGGCGCACTTCTCGATGTCGGCCTTCAGCGCGGTCTTGTCCTCCTTGCCCTGTCCCAGCTGGGCCACCAAATGGTCAACCTTGAAGCCCTTGGTCTCATCGAACAGGTCGAACTTCACGAAGATGCACTGGATGTAGTTGCGGGTGATCTCATCATCGGGATAGTCGAAGGTTTTGTACTTGGCGATCAGGGCCTCGGTCACCTTGCTGCTGGTGCCGCACTCCTTGCGCGCGTTCTGCAGATCCTCCACGCTGCGGATCTTGTACTCGGCGGCGGAGGCCTGGCAGGGATCAAGAAGATTACTCCCTGTGATCAGCTATAATACAGTTGATACTCACCAGACCCAGGAGGGCGCACAGCAGAATGGCAACAGTGTTCTTCATACTGAAATCGGTTTTTTTTGTATTTACTTTCTGAGAGGGACTGACTGCTCGCTCTGTGTTTAACCGGAGGAAACTGTTGGCTATGCACTGGGCAGCTCCCGCTTTTATACCTTCGAGCACTGCTCAATCTGGGTATGTCGCACTCAATTGTGGGGCGATTTTGAGTGCCGCTCAATTGAGTTGCACTCGCTGGCTGTAATTTGAATATCATTATGGAATTTTTTGATTATCTCGAGGTTGCTGAGATTATCCAGTAATAGATATAACTCTATTCTTTTATAAAAATGGTCCTTAATCATAAGTTAGAAAAAAACACCTATGTTCTGTTTTTTATCTTTTCTAATTTTCGAGCAATATTTTTCTTTGGTCAATCATTTTGTTTAAAGTTCTCTTCATTTCGATTTATTTAAAAATCTTATTGTAAAAAGGTGTAAAAGGATTTGACATAGGGATTTTAATAATAAATGTTCTGTACATTTCCTTTATAAACGAATATATCTGGAAGTGTAATTTTTCGAGGACCCACTGTATTTTTTGGTATACAACAAATTATAAAAATCATCAAGCCGCTGATCAGCTGATTTTGATTTCAGTTGTTGCATTATTAACATAAACAGCTAAATCTTTTTAAATTTCAATTGTTTGTCTGGAGGGGCGGCAAGCGACTTCTATAAACTATACATAAATGAGCTCTGCATGGGTGGGGTATATGACAGAGGGTGTAAATAGATCAGATTTTTCCAGATCTTTTGCATGGGTGGGGTATATGACAGAGGGTGTAAATAGATCATATTTTTCCAGATAAATCGGCTCTTTTTCTAAAAGTTTTACAGAAATTAAACAAGTGTCGTTGTAAAGGTGTGCTCATTTCTTAATTTACAATCAAATAAAGAGTTAACACAGTGCAACACGGAATATTTAACCGCAAATTATGTTTTAAAATCTGAATGTACTCATAAAACGTGTAAATCCTAATTTGCGGTTCCTCTGGAATGGCTCGCGTGTCAATATTATTGCGACCTTAAGATTTTATGTAGAACTTGACTTATATCTCTTAGTCCCATTCAAATTTCCGGTACACGTTCTCAACATTGGAGTACCTTAAGAAACGGTTTTGAAACCCGTAAATATTAACAATTGGACTAAAAAATTTACAAAAAATATTACATTTAACATATTTTATACCCACTATTTTAAAGATAGGAAGATTTTAGTTAACATCCCAAATAATATAATTAAATAAGCATAGAATTTTTCATATTTGGACTGCGTCCATTTCTCTCTCTTTAGTTTAAATGCAAATTTATTGTAATTGGGAAACTTTTTTTTTCTATTTACAGAAGGAAAAGAAAAAAATACTATAATTAAGTAAGCATAGAATTTTTGTCCTTTAAAATTTTCGAAATAAAAGGCATAGGACTTTTTGAAAAATCTGTTTTTTAAAACTCGCCTATTTTGGGAGAGTTTGCCCCCTAGAAAAAGTCATTGTGGATCTGCCACTGAGTTTGCATGACCGACCATTTGTGGTCACTTAAGCTGCCCACTTCGTTGTCCGTGGGCCTTTGTACGCCAATGTGTATGCTGTCGGCCGGTCGGTCTGCTCTGCTCTGCATTAAATGAGCATTAATTGAATTGGCAAAATTACGTTGACAAATGAAATTCTCCCTCGCCAACGCACACACCACCCTTCGATGTCATAGATGTGCCCCCAGCCCCTCGATTTTTGCAGCCACACACGAAAATTTTCCACTGCAACATGAGTGGCTCCATAGGAATTGAGTGCCTTCCCAAGTCCACTCATCTATATGTATATCATATATCAGGTGCCAGACAGGTGGTTTCCCAATCACAAACAGAGACGTGTTTATTTCGGCTTTCTTTGAATTTGAAGCATTTATTTGTATTGAAACACTATCAGTTAAGTATACATAGGTCTAAAGCACAGTTTTCATAAAAACTCCAAATAAAAACCTCATCACAATGAACTAAATTTAAATGATCACATACGAAAAATAATGAAATCGAAAATCACAACTCCCATACGCCGTTTGGAATATGCATCTTCTAAGAACCTGCAGGAGTCTCAAAGGAACTTACTATAGTAATAATAATAACTCAATTTTGATTAAAACTTAAATCCACCCATTTAACTAGAAACGATCGAAAGGTAAATGATAATGAAACCAAGGCAATCGTGAATCCTGGCTAAGCTTATGCAAAGTTATAGATATTTCATTTTTGGTAAGCACATCTAGAGGGTTTGAAGCTAAGCAAACAAATTGGAAAAGCGCTATCTGCTATATAGAGTGTGTTGCATATCCGTATAAATATGGTTATAGTATAGTTAGGGTGCTAAGGAACCAGTTCACTTCTCGGGAATGGGTCGCAGGGTGGCGATGTCCACCTTGCTGCTCGGCGGCACCAGTGCCGTCTCCAGCTCGGGGATCTCCAGGTCGGGGATGGGGTCGCGCCAGTAGTTGAAGTTGGAGAACTCGGCGGAGGCCTCGTCGTGTTTCACCGGCGGGAACAGTTGATCGACAATGTACGTCATGCTGCAGTATCTGGAAAAATAATGCAAGAAATACACATGAGATTATATGAATCATTAAGGGCTGTGCATCAATCTCACAATTTTCTTCTTCTTCCTCAGTTTCAAAACTTAAAATTCTAATTTTAGGGTGACCAGATTTGCTTCAAATTCAATTTGTAAAAGAGTTTGTTTTGTAAAGAATTTATCGATTCTATTTTAGAGTGACCAGTTTTTTTCAGCCTAAAAGCATCCATTTTTTTTTAATTTTGCGGCGAAGAGGTTTTAGGCTGCGCTAGACTATCGCGGACGCCTTGGGATATACTGCACTTTTTAAGCAGTTACATTTTTGAAACACGATCTATAGAATACCATACTCACGCAGATAAAAGATATAAATGTTCGTTTTATAGAAAAGATCGTCTACATATATACTGTAACTACATTTAACTACCGGATCTAGCTCAGAACTCATGCCACATACAGATAAATAAAAGATTGCCATCACAGCGAAATGAAAGGTATATTTTGTTGGGTATTTCACATAATTGTCATCCTTAAAACTAGACATAAAGACCTGCTGGGAGCAGAATACTTTCAAAACTTAACTGGTCGGCGAACTTGGAGCTCGCGGACCTGGCACATCAGGCACAGACATATATAGGACACTCCTAACTCTCTCTCTCTTAGAAAACTTATCACAATTTGCAAGCTGCACAACCTTCGGCTTTGGGACAGGACTGGAGCTATGTCTAGGAATTTAACCACTTGGGGGGCGAGGCCAAGATGACCTCGTTTTTGGAGGAGACGCGGCGGACTCGCATTATGAGACCCACATCGGCCGACTCTTCGTCGCCGGAGGCCGCGTCCGCTTGGATGCCATCGTCATCGTTGGCAAAATCATCATTGTAGAGGGCCTCGTCATCGTCCTCATCCTCATCCCCACTGCTCTCCTCACTCGCACCGTGCTCCGCGTCCACGTCGTAATCGTCGCTGAACTGAAGCTCATCCTCCGACTCCTCGTCGTCGAAGACGTCCGTCCGGTAGTCGAAATCATCTTGGTGGGTTAGCAGGGGAAAGTACTCGTCGACTTCTAGCGACTGATTGATGTAGCCACTGTGTAAATTTGACAACCAAAATGCTTGAATTGAATTCGGCAGGCTTTTCGATTTCGATTGATTGATTGATTGATTGAGTGGGGTGCGTTTTGGGGTAGTACAATGGATAGATACTACACAGATAGGAAGTACACTCATACGGCTTAGAAACACCTAGCGTTACGTGATGGAGTTAATTCGACTTGAGCCAATTAGCGTTTGTTGGGTTTTTGCGAATTAGTTAACGTTATCGGATGTGGCATGAGTTCAGTAATGAGCAACACCGGAACCATATACATGGGAGAGACACATGTGCATTTACGGCTAACACTAGGCTAGGGTATCGACGGATCGCTACTTACGAGGACTGGAATGTTTGGGTCAGCTCGTGCTTCAGCTCGCCCTTGGTGTTGATGGTGAAGATGCGCATAATGGGAATGCCGACGGCTCTGTAGGCCCACACGTCCTGGAAGAGAATCACAAAGAGATGTAATCTTACAATTACTGCTCTACATTTCAAGGTCAAAATTACACTTACATTGATGCGATTGCCGTAACCGGCGTAGAAGGGCTCCTTGTCGGGGAAGAGATCTCGAATGTCAGACAGGCAGGCGATCTTGAACTGCTCCGGTTTCTTCTCGATCACCTCGCGGTGGAAGGCCGAGATCAGGGACGTGGGATTTAGGAGCAGCGGTCCGTCGGGAAGCATCACGTTGCCCTGCCGGATCGACCGGAGATACTCGCGTGTCACCCTGCTCTGACCGATGGCACGGGCCGACAAATAGAGCAGCTTGTAGCCGTTCTGCTCGATCTTCGAAAAGAGCTGCGCCACCCCGAGTTGCGCCCAATCCTTGCCCACCATGGGCAGGATGTGGCCCAGCACATCGGACTTCGTGATGGTGCCGTCAATGTCGGAGATCACCACCTTGTCGTTGTGCTTCCAGCGGAACAGATAGCACTTGCAGCGCGTCGTTCCCTGATAGGCGGTGGTCACGCTGAACTCGATCTCGTTCATGCCCTCCTTGAGGTTTAGTTTTTTCTGAAGGAGTCAAGGGAATGGTTATACATCCATTTCTATATAAAATAGATTTCGCAACTTACGATGGCTGCCGAGCTAAGGCGCAGCGACTTCTTGTAGCGCTCCTTGGGCTCATCGCTCTTGTTGGAGGCCATGGTCAGCTCCTCCAGGTTGTCCACCAGGGCCGAGGTGTTCTCCGCATTCACCAGTGAGTCGCTCTTGCTCAGCGTGGGATCGCTGATGTCTGGGGAGTTGGGCCGTGAGGTTTGCGTGGCCACCGCTGCCTGATCGCCATCTGGAGGAGATTAGAACAGTTAGGTTGGCCGCACACCAAAATAAAGTTTAACTGTACCTTTCTCATCCTTGCCCAATGGCAATCCATGAACGCTGCTCAATTGGTTGGGTGCCGCATCCTGCGAGCGCCGCCAGCTCCACCAGTAGCGCTTGGTCTGACCCACATTGTCAGCCTGGGCGGCCGATTCCGGCTTCTCATCCTCAGGCACCGTTTGGGCCATCAGCTGCTCAATGGCATCCTTTCAGGAATAAGTAACAATCCAAACCAGTTAAAAGGGAGAAGCGAATAAGGCGGAGGTAGCACACAAAAGGCTTGGCTCGGGGCCAACTTACATGGGTTAGTGGCTTCTGGAAGGTGATCATTGTCATGACAATGGGACATGCAGCCATCCAGGTGTAGTATTTGCCATTCAGCCGTACGACTAGGTTAGGCGATGAGAAAATGCTGGGGCTTTTGCACACCTGCGCACAGGTGCAAATGAGGGCGTGGCATGGGAAGAGACTGGTTAACAAGGCGGGATGCAGTGCGTGGGGGGCGCAGTGAAGTGCATGGAACTTAGACACACACACAGAACATAGCGCTGGGCTTTGGTTGAATACTTACGTCTGGATAGTTGACCAGGTGGCGATCGAACTCCTCGTCCGAGGGCGGTGCTCCCTGCTCCGACATGCCGCACATGGACATGGCCACAAAGTCCAAGTATCTGGGAGAAGAGGATTACAATTAGAACAAGAGAGAACACTATAGTCGGGTAGGTGTCCCAACTATCTAAAGGGAGTGCGAGGGAGATGGATATATACAATTTTGATTGCGCATAACTTTTTAATGAATGGTCCGATTTGAAAATACATTTCGAAAGGTATAAAAATACACAACAAGACTGCATTTATACTTTTCGGAAATCTTTAAAGATGTGGGCGCCAGACAAATCGTTAGTGGGCGATTGTGGGCGTTAAAAGGGGCGTCGCGCTCGGCTGAAATAAACCTGCGCTGCGTAGGAAGCCCAAGAATATGTGTGGGAAATCCCAACCTTCTAGCTTTTGTAGTTTCCAAGATCTCAGCGTTCATACGGACAGACAGACGGACATGGCTAGATCGACTCGATTACTCTACGAGTAACGGGTATAATTAGGGATTCTATGGTTTTACTCACTTGTTGTCCCGCTGCTGCTTGGTCTCGTCAAAGTCCGAGTCAATGCTCTTCTGACCCTCCTCCAGCGAGCTGGGCGAATGGGGCAGGCTGGTGCCATTGCCGCTCTCGCCATCCTCCTCCGGCGGCGAGGTTTCCTTGGACTTGGGTGTGGGGAAGTACAGGGCCGCCATCTCGGGATCCATGCTCCCAGCATCCAGATCGGAAAGATAGATATCTCCCACCTCGCCCACGCCCTTCTCCTTGCGCAGCCGATTGGCCCGCTTCATGAAGCTGAACATGTTGCTCAGCATCGATTGGTGCTCGCTCTGCTGCACCTGGGCGGCGCTCATGGCCTCGTTTTTGGCCTGCTCCGGCGTCGGCAGCTCGCCCCATTTCCACGAGGCGGCATTCTCGTCATCCACCACATGCCGCTTGTCCCGCATCGTTGTCTCCAGCTCACTGTCGCTCTGAATGGGAGTCGAGGGACGTCCGCCGGCGGCGCGTCCCGATCCGCCAACACCACCGCCAACGGGAGTGGCAATTTCCGTGTCGCTGAAGAAGTGAATGTCCAAATCGAGACGGGGATTGGTCGTGGGCGTGTGGGGCAGCTCGCTGAGAGGACTATCGTCACCAGTGCGGGCGGTGACCAGGGGAGCCGATGGTAGCTCATCATTGGATGAGGAGGTGTTGTTGTTGTTGTTGGTGGCACTGGATATTAGGGCATCACCCTCATCGATGTTGCTAACACCCAGAGATGGCGCCTCCACCGAGGGCAGATCACCGCCGGCGGCACTGCCCACGGAACTGCTCGAGGAGGTCTTGCGCTGGGCATTCTTCTTCATCTGCGACTTCTTGCGGCGCTTCTTGGTCTTGCTCTTGGACACCTCCTTGGTGGCCTCGCTGGTCGTGACCGGAGTTAGGGTTAAATCTGGTTTGGGCTGCTCCTTCTGCACTTCCTTCTCGGTCTCAGCTTCGTTGGAAGCCTTGCTTTGGCTCTCCAGCTCCGACTCCGTCGACTTCTTCTCGCCCTGGAAGAGCTCCTCGTGCTCGGCCCACTCCTGGCGAATCTTCTGGGTGGTGAACTCCTTGAGTTTCTCGCTCAGATTGCGACGCTCCAGAGTGTTGTCCGTGTGTCTGTTTCGGATGGATTCAAGGTAGCAGTTATTTGAATATTTACATGGCTAGCCGGGGTATGAAAAGGCTTTGTGTACCTGCGCTGCGTGTAATCCGAGACCTGGTTCTCGAACTTGCCGCCCTCGACGGCGGCTTCCTTGGGCTCCTCCTTGGAGAAGTCAATGGAGTTGCGTCGCGGCAACGGCAGGGGCAGGAGCAAATCCTCGCTAGCGTTTCTAAAATGATTTAGCAAGTGACCGGATGAGTCTGGGCTGTTGGATAACTATGAGAGTTCTACTTACTTGTCGGTCACCACTCCACTGATGTCCTCCATAGTGTCATTGGCCTTGTCCCGCGACTGCAGGAAGCTATTCGGGATGGGCGAGGTGGCCAGGTTGGCTGGCAGCGGCTCGTCCTCATCCTCCAGGCACTCCTCCACGAAGAAGGCCTCGCCGGAGTCGCCCAGCTTCATCTGGATGTCGACGGGTGCGCCATTGATCTCAATGTCCACCTGAATGAATGATGGAGATCGTAGATATGTAATTAAAAATCGCTTACATTGGAATTAATGTGTTCCTTCCGGAATTCGCAACTGAATTTATGTACTTATACATTGTGCTTATTACTTATTGCATTGCATATATCATAATTTCTTTAATTATTCTGATTGCATACTTTATAAGATATAAATATGATAAGATGCCCCCTTTAGAAACACTTTACACTCGTGATATTTAATAAATGCATATCTTGGGGCCTAGATACAAAGTTCATTACGTTTAATCATCGGTTACTACATTCCAAGTTCCTCTAACGTTGATTTTCTCCGTTAGAAATAACATTTCCCCTTAGTTGTAGATACAGATGAGATCATCACAACTTTGCCAAAACTTATAATTCATCTTGCTGCTAATAGTTTAGTTCACATTACATAATTTCGTAGTTACAAAAAAGTTATTAGAATTTGAAAGCTAATACATACCACCTTCTCCCGACTCCTCAGCACTCCCAGTTTGCCGAATCGAACGTGGAAGGGTGAGCACTGGAACTCGCCATCCCGCTGCTCCACCACGATCACATCGATGGCTCCCGTGAGGGTGGCCGCATTGATGTCGTTGTAGAAATCGCGGAAGTTGCTGAAGACCCGCGCCAGGCTATTCATCTTTGGTCTGCTTGGTGTTTCGGTGTTTCCTTACTGCTGCGGATGGGGATCTCTCCTTGAACTCCCCGAAATCTGCTTGTCTAATCGCAAAGCTCCGACTTTGTGTGGTTGCCTCCGTGGTGTGTGCTTATATGGCAGCCATTTTTATTGGCAGGCGGTCAAATGCGCCGCTTATTGACGAAGGAATCGGCACTGCGATGTTTTAGGCGATACTTTGGACCCGAAACGCCTCGGAGATACGGCAACTGTAAAGGGCAAAGCGGAAACGGTCATGAGTAATTTGTATAGGCCATAAACCATTTTTCCCGACATTTATTTCGGCTTGGCAACGGCGAGCGTCGGCTGAAGAAAATAGACAAATTGCATCAGAAGGCATCCTGTGCTTGGAAGCCCCAACGATGCACCTGAATTTATTTTTAACCCCGTTCCTCTTTCTCTCGCGCGCTGCTCAAAGTCAAGGTGAGTTCCTCCTATAGACCAGAGACAAAGCCACCGAGCAATGTGTTGCTGACCGCCGGCAACATGCAGTACATTACGCTGAAATGTTGCCAAACGGCGGACGTGACGTCGAGAATAAACAAAGCAGCTACCTATAATATATTCAACACTTGGGGTCACAGTCATAGCAGCCGGACTAAAGAACAAATTTTCCCTTAATATAGTAGAGAAAATAGCGGTAATAGAAGTTTTTGAAATGAGAAGTATACACTAAAAAGTTTTTGTAAATGCTTCGCTACTGATGGGTATTACTTTTTAATTATCATCCTAACTTTGGGGTAGATAAAGTGAGAACAAAATTTCACAAATTTGAAAGGGGTTAAACTAATAATTTCATCAAATCAAGGTAGAAAGTATTTCCTAGTTGAAAATTGAAAGGAAATAAATTTTTTTTAAACAACCTAAAGTTGTATTAATATTTTGACCAAAGTTGTCCTTGCTCGAATATCGCTTAATTGTAATCAATTTAATTTTCCCTGCACGCGGTTAAGTTTATTTACAACAAGTTCAAGGCAAGATTAAACTTGGAAAGGCGGGTAAATAATATTATACGGGCTGTCGGCCCCGCTGAAGGTACTTTCGACTTTCGGCTTATCTGGGATAAAAACTATTTACGAGTGTCACCGCCGATGAATTGGGGCGATAAACCCAGTCGAACGCCGCTTATCAACGGCGGTTACCGACACCAGTGGCGTGTTCTACTGTTCGCGAATGATAAAACACAGAATAAATAACCCCACGAAACACAAACACATTCGACCACACTATAAGTATGAATTAATCATGGACACCGAAAGACATCACGCGATATCGAGTGGAACGCGGGCTTTACAACTGGAAATATGTATAGGCGAGCAAGTTCGTTAATAACTAGCCATGGAGTTCAATGTCCAACATTGCACAATAATTAAGCGAATTCAACAAACAATAATTGCTAGATTTTTTGGCTTTTGGCAGTCGTGCCAACGGTCAACGATATCGGCACTTCATACACTCGACAATCTGGCGAGATTATTTTATTTAGCCTGGCTGGGAATTCGAAAGAATTTGCTAGATAAGCCCCGATCGATTTGAATAGGCAGAAATTCGATTCTTTGTTGTCTGAATCGCTGAGTTATATCAACTAAATTACTTTTAACAACAAGTTTATGTTAGATGTCCTATACTATATATTTGTTATCAAAAAGAGGCTATTCTTAAGTGAAATCCTTTGTATATTTTGGTTTATTTTGATAGTATCTAACCTATACATTTCTTTCTATTTTCCCAAATATTTTCGAGATCTCCTTCAACTATAAATATACCTAATCAAACTTTTATTGAACTGTAAATTTAATTTAAAGCAAGATAAGGAATATTAAATGTTTATAAAGTTGTTTGTATACTGCTATGTTGAAATAATCTCGTAGGAAATATTTACTTTTTAATTTTTAGAAGTGAATGACTCACATACGAGCTATTTTGACCCTGGGTTCGACTACTTGGCTGATAGCTTTTCTTGCCGTGTACGAAAGGAGGGGGACCTAATCGGGAGTCCTACAATTGCACGCACCACTCGAACAGCAGACATCACGCCATCTGTCACGCGTTGTGGCCCCGCTTCACTTTCACCTGCGAAGCTGGGGAGCCAGGTAAACCAAATGCGGGTAGCAAAACAACATTCGATGAAGCACATGGAAATCAGCCGATGGTAACAAGAGTAACGACAGTAAGTAACAAAGAAACCCCAGAATGGGGCCAACTTCGGGAGAAGCTATGTGTGTGTATATCCAGACAAAGGCACAAAGGAGAACTCGGGTTTCCAAACAAAAACTTCATGACTCGAAAGATAACGCTGCACAAAAGTCATTTGTGTTTCCCAAGATTTCAAACGGAAGCTTGACAATCTATAAAACAACAGAACTAACACGTTTGAGCTTCAAACTCAGCACTCATTTTTGTCAGTGCACAATACAACACGCAAACTTTGTTCCCGCACCAAATCGAAATTTAAATCCAAGCAGATTGGTTCAATTTCGCGACGAGTTTAGTTATATTATGCATTTTAATGGGTCTGGGTCTGCGGCTGTTTGCTGATTTGTGTTGAGTCACGATCAAAGTCCAGGGAATCGGAATCGGGGGAATGCGAATGTAGCGAAAAAAAAATAGGCGAACAAACAAACAAACACGGGCACAAAGTCTAACCAAAGATCTTGCCAAGAATACGTCTGCAGGCGTACGTTCTCGACCGATCTCTAGTATAATGGAAATTTTCAATATAATCCGTTGGTTCTCGGTATGTAATCCGAATTCATCACTACCTGGCACAAAATTTCAGCACAGCTGTATAATCGGTGCCCTTGAAAACACTAGCGAAACTATGGCGAATCACTCTGCTTTCCGTGTATTTTGAATTCGTTTCTTTTTCACAATATTATTAAAGAGTTCTTGTGTGTTTCTTCGGTCTTTCTGATTCTTCCCTGCTCGGATTCTTCCGTTCACTTGTTGCTCGCTCGAGGTCTCTTTGAAGAGTGAAGACTGAGCGTTGGAGCGGTGCGGCTAATCGAATTAGGCAGGTGCCCGAGTGTGAGTGAGAGAACGCGAGAGCGTGCGAAAAGAGAGCAGAAGCTTCGCAACAAACCTGTAAAACCGGAAAGTCATGTAACTCTTGTTGCCATGGCATATCTATGTACAAACAGCGGTGGTCGGAACAATAGCCACCCTCTCATTTTCGTTTCACCAAATCTTTTCTTAAACATTTTTCTTTTGTACATACAAAAACATAATGAAAATGGTTGAAAAATTAAGGTGTTTAAGTTTCCCTTGCATTAAATATTTGACTTTAATAACACTCTTATGAGAATGACCCCCACTGTATATAAGCATGTGTGCGAGTAAGTGGTGTGCAAATCTCCCTCTCTCGTTCTCTCGCTCTTTTGGCAAGCCTTAATAACTGTGCTTATCAGCTGCTCGCACGCCAAACAGCAGCTGTTTATGCGCAATCGAAAGCTCTATACGTGTAATAAATAAAAAAATTTTTACTAGTATGAGTATGATCCGATCGGAGTCTGGGACCCCAGAAAAAGCGTCATTGTGGGATGGTGTGATCTACGTCACTGGAAATGTTTTCAGTTTTCTGACTAGATATTCTTTCGGTACAGGAAGTCTGCTACAGAATATAGACTCGAATGAGTCCTCAAATGATCCATGGTCAAAATATGCTCGACTATATAAGCAAATGGTAGGAGGACAATAAAAACGCTAAAAGAAAAACAGCCAAACAATTCGTCACAGTTGGGGACTGTGGAATATTTTCCGAATGCCATACGATCGGTGCCAACAAAAGATAACGCCGCCCACGACAAACTAATAGTTCGTCTTTATGAATCAAATTGTACTTTAAGACCCGAGCAAATAAACAAACTTACCAAAACAGATAACAATAATAATCGAAATAAAAACAAATAAACAAAATCATATATGATTTAAATAATTTAAATGTATTTGTATTGTTTAAATGATAAAACTAAAGAAATATAGTTATACGTATGTACATCGAACAAATTGTACCAAAAATATATAGTATGGATGCCTCAACACATCTTCCCGTCCATCTGAACGAATATGTATATATAATAAATAGGTTACCGTGAAGAATACAAATAACTAAATAATTGGCAAAGGCAGACGACATAAGTTTGTATATGGGATTGTAGCATGATATATGGTAAATATAACTAGGCTCTAAAACAAAACATATTCAGATAGTAGATAGTAGATAATAGCAATTACTAAGAACAACTCCTCGTTTCAATGGTTTTATTGGGCCCCATTAAACAGGCAAAGTGAAATGCGTCCGAAACTTCGATTACTTGGGACTGGTCGTGGACTTGCGCCGGGCATCCGTTATGGCACCCCACAGCTCGATGATGAAGTCATCCGTGAAGCCGAAGGACTCCAGGTCCGAGTTGTCGATGGCCTCGGCGAAGTCCATCGAGTTGGACTTTTGATCGCCCAAATCCCAGATCTGGGACGCCAGCTCCGTGTCATTGATTCCCATAAAGGACTCCAGCAGATTGTTGATGGCCTCGATCCCGGCCACTGTCGCCTCATCGAACTGCGGCTCGATCTGGGCATTGCCATTGGCCTTGAAACGCAGCGTCTCCTTGCCGCTCCCATAGTTCTTCCCGCCCGCCGATCCCGACGCCCTCGACTGGCTGCGCGGTCCGATGCCCTGGAAGCCGCTCCTCACCGGCTCCACCAGCCGGAGGGTGAAGGTCTCGCCGGTGGCTATGTCCTTCAGCATGCGAGCCACCTCGTAGTGCCGCTTGCCCACCATATTCTGGCCATTCAGCTTCTCGATGTGATCGCCCACGCAGATGTGCTCGATGCGATCGATAATCGAGTCCTCCTTGATCCGCTTTATGAAGGCGTAGCCGGCACCGTTGTCCGTGATCGTGAGACCCAGGGCGTCCTGGGACTTTACAATCTCAATCTCCTTGGGACGACCCTTGCGATGGGCAAAGATGAAGTCATCCAGGCCGATCTGACCGCCCAGCAGACGCGTCATGTCCACCTTGTGCGAGTTGAGGGTGCAGAAGAGGATGTCCTTCTCGGATATATCGAAGCACTCGGCTATCTTCTGGTATAGCTCTCGAACGCTGGAGAAGTCATGGATGAGGCCGGTGGGACTGCCGTGGGCCAGTTGGCAGTGGAAGACCAGCGGTGGCTTCGTCTTCTCCGGAATGCCGTTGTTGTTATTGTTATT